TCTTGTTTCTGCCTTGTGTCTACACATTGATTAGCAATTAGTGTTGCATCCATCATTGTAATCCTTTTATAAGGTCATTTGTTGTGCATCTACCAACCTTGCCACCACTTTCTTTAGCCTCTCATTCAATAGTTCTACCTCCTCAAAAAAAAAACAAAAAAAAACACTTCTGAAATAATTTTGTAAACACTCCCGACTAGCCTGATGGGTCTGTAGTTATTTAGTTCTTTGGCTCCAACTTTGTTGAGAATCATGGCCACAAAAGTTGCATTGAAGCTTTTTCTAATTATGCATTGCTCATGGAAATTCTGTACAGCAACTATGACATCTGTACTGACCACCTCCTAGCACCAAATAAAGAAATGTCAGAGTAACCATCAGACCCTGGGACTTTTTCCCCTGCAACATACTTCACTGCTTCCCAATCCCATATCCCTTGTGGGAAAAATGAGTTTTGAAGCATCTCATTATCCTCAACTGTTATCCTGGGCCAATCCCTCATACCACCTTGAGGCCTCCACTCCTTTGTTTATGTGTAGAGGTTCGGGTAGAAAGACACTATCTCTTCTTTAATAAACTTTGGATCTCTTATCAGTACCCCTTCCACTTGCTACTGATCAATGTTGTTATACCTTCTGTGGCATAGGCTGCTCTATGAAAATAACTTGTATTTTGTACTCCCAACTTCAACCATAAAGCTCTGGATCTTTGTCTCTGTGCTTCTTCTTTATGTTTCACAATCTCTTCATATTCCATGGATAGGGATGTCTTGGTAAAATTTCATCAGAGAGATTCCTCTGATCATGAATTTTATCCAAGTCTTCCACTCCATGCTTTTCTTTTTCATGCATAAGTATTATTGCTTGGTCCGCAGAAGTAAACACATGCTGGTTTTCTTCAACTTGTTACCCATCTTTTTCTTCTGAGTTCTCTGAGAACTATGAACTATATGCCTCGCAACAATCGCTTTAATCGTTTGACTGCTTTGTGTCGTAGTATTAGCAGACACTTCTTCGATTAGTGGATCAGGCCTTTTATAGAGGAAGGGCTTCTTTGGTTTTTGATTCCAGCATATTTTGAGCAAAATGATCGGGGGCCAAATGTTCTTTCCCCTCTGCTTTCACAGGGCCTTTAGAAAAAGATAGCTCATGTCCACGTGGTAGGTCATGTTAGTTATAATTAAATCCTTATGCTTCCCTGCTGCCCACCACGTGCAGTGTCCCGCCTTTTTGAATTGAGCTCATCCCCTATACTGTAGGGTTCTTCTGTTATCCTTTGGCTTATACTTCTTTCATTCTTCTCCTCTCCTATCGAAACTCTGACCACCGCGTCGACTTATATCTGGATCTCCAATATTATGCCTTTAAGCACACCTTTGACAACATTGGCTCCACCATTGAAAGAAAATCTTGAAATTCATCCAGAACCAAGTTCCTTCTAGAATATGTACCGTCGATAGCTTCGAGGAGAGGTAGGGAATTATTTAATAGTCGCGTAGTCTCTTGTTCGTCAATTTGTATTTCTACCTATTGCCTCATTTGCTTTGTATCTTGCTATTTTGTTATATTATTCTTACAATCCTGCTTCAGAAACATTTCTTTTGAACCGAAGGTCTATCGGAAATGGCCTCTCTACCCCACAAAGGTAGGGGTTAGGTCTAAATACATCCGTCTTCCCCAGACCCTACTTGTATACCCCACTTGTGGAATTATACTGGATAAGTTGTGGTTGTTGTCGTTGATAGCTTTGAGGAGAAACAAGAAGCTATTGTAACCCATCTCAAAAATATTTAGATGTATCTGCTTCCATATGCTACTCGCCCATCTGAGAATTTCCGACAGGATTGGGACGTCAAAGGTTGCTGTTGACAATTTTCCAACCAAACTTGTTGTGTGATTGTTCACTCTCAATATAAAGGATCTCCCCATGCCTGGACTTTTGCAGCTCCCATCTGTCTTGAGGCCCATCAGGACAGAATCCAAATATAAGAGCCCTGAATCTGTTGTCTTAAATGGTCTTGGTTCTGGATTTCTGGTTGACACCTTGATTTAATTGACCAATCAATCTTTTAAGGCAATCTCAATCTACCCTGAATTAAATGTCAATCTCAGGGACAATAATAATTGCTCTCCTCCTACCTTGAAGGTTAATGATTGTAATGTACCGGCCATGACTGTTGTAGTTTCTTGCGCAGAAAGTGCCTTAAAAAATGGTCACAAAGTCTACAACTTTTAACAGAATTCCCCTTCACCTACGATGCTTCCTTTAGTGTGTCACACAGCCACCTCATTGTCTTACTCTTGAACATTGTTGTTCTGACAAGATTACGGCCTCTCTCCATCCATTTGTACCATTCCCCTGATCTGGATCATTCCTAACAACTTCAGATGATCTGAAACCCACTGTGAAGTGTATTGTATTGATCCCCATGAAGATTTGTAATAAACAGACTATTCTTTGTGTGTCCTAATGAAGATTAGAGCTGTTGTACATGAAATGATGGAGCCTATAAAGGGTGTGTTAGAAAAGGAATAGGTTTATACAATCCTATTAGAATAGGAATAGGTTTATACAATCCTATTAGATTCCTGTTATGGGTACTGTTAGAATTGGAATAGGTTTATACAATCCTATTAGAATAGGAATGGGAATAGAAATAGAAATAGGAATACTAAATAGTATCCTACTTGGTAAAGGATTGTATTCTAGGGTCTATAAATAGGGTCTCAATGTGATAATGTACACAACAACAACAATTCAATAATATTTTTCTCCTATATTTTTCACATGGTATCAGAGCCTCTACGATCTTGGTAGAAAATCAAAGAACTTCCGCTGCTGGCGGGTGGCACCCATATATGCTGCCTGTCTGGCCAATGATTATGTTAGCAAAAGTTGGGTCACCATGTATCTTTCTGGTGACTATTTTCTCATATCTAATTTGTGTAGCTCCGTGTCATCATTCCGGTGACTACTTTCTTATATCTAATCTGTGTGGCACCGTGCCATCATTTCGGTGACTACTTTTTCATATTTAATTTGTGTAGCACTGTGCCATCATTCCGGTGACTACTTTTTCATATTTAATTTGTATAGCACCGTGCGATCTTTTTGGTGACTACTTTTCATATCTAGTTTGTGTAGCACTGTGTCATCATTCCAGTGACTACAATTTTATATATAATTAGTGTAGCACCGTGCCATTCTTCCGATGACCATCTTTTTTTGCATATCTGATTTGCGTAGCACCGTGAATCTCTCCGGACTACTTTTTATATATAATTTGTGTAGTACCGTGGATTTTTCCGAACTATTTTCTCATATCTGAGTTGCATAGCATCATGTGTCTTTTCAGTGACTCCTCAGATTTGATTTGCATAGTTCCATTCGTCTTTCCGGTGACTCCTCAAATCTGAGTTGCGTAGGGTTGTGCCATCATTCCAACCCTACCCGTATAATTTTCTTTTCAGTAGGGTCGTGCCATCATTCCGACCCTAACCATATTATTTCTCTTTTTCAATGGGGTCGTTCCATCAATTCGAACTATCCTATATAATTTCTATTTTCTAGTTGGGTCGTGACATCATTCCGACCCTACCCATATAATTTTATTTCTTAGATTGTGACCACTTTCAACCATCAAATCTAATACTCCGGCGTATGAGCATGTTCCGACCAATTTTTCGGTGACTTTCTTGTTTAATATCGACTCATCTATTGATTCCAACATGATCCACATACTTTATACTAGATTTTGAGCACTTTGCAGCTCAGTGGGAGCTTAGTAGCCTTGCATGTCGATTATGCGAGTCACTCTATGGTCTGAAACAGTCTTTGCAAGTTTGGTTTGGGAAGTTCAATATTGTAATTTTATCACTTTGTGTTTTATCGGCATTATGCATCAAATTCAGTATTTCATGAGAAGATTAAGCACATTGAGATTGACTGACATTATGCATCAAATCCAGTATTTAATGAGAAGACAAGCACATTGAGATTGACTGTCAATTTTGTGAAGTCGACTGATCAACTTACAGATATCTCACCAAGCCCCTCATCAGTCCTCATGTTAATTACATTTGTAACAAGCTAGGTACATGAATTGTATGCACTAGCTTGAGGAGGAGTGTTAGAATAGGAATAGGTTTATACAATCCTATTAGAATAGGAATAGGTTTATACAATCCTATTAGAATAGGAATAGGTTTATACAATCCTATTAGAATAGGAATAGGTTTATACAATCCTATTAGAATAGGAATAGGTTTATACAATCCTATTAGAATAGGAATAGGTTTATACAATCCTATTAGAATAGGAATAGGTTTATACAATCCTATTAGAATAGGAATAGGTTTATACAATCCTATTAGAATAGGAATAGGTTTATACAATCCTATTAGAATAGGAATAGGTTTATACAATCCTATTAGAATAGGAATAGGTTTATACAATCCTATTAGAATAGGAATAGGTTTATACAATCCTATTAGAATAGGAATAGGAATAGAAATAGAAATAGAAATAGGAATACTAAATAGTATCGTACTTGGTAAAGGATTGTATTCTAGGGTCTATAAATAGGGTCTCAATGTAATAATGTACACAACAACAACAATTCAATAATATTTTTCTCCTATATTTCTCACAGGACACCTTGTCGATGTCATTCCGGTGAGACTTCTTATTTCTTTGATAAGTTCATTCAGGTGGAACTTTGTATCTTATACAGATCAAAAATAGTATTTTATTCTACTACTTTCCATGAGCACAGTTGGGCCTCTATCCTTAAAGTTCTAAATTTCAAAAAGCCATTGGGACCATACTGTATGCAATCAAACCAAATTGTTCTCCTACAGAGACACGGTGAATTGGTCTCTATCTCAAATTTAACTTCACCTACATACATCCAAACAAATATATGCAACTATTAGGTCCCTTAGCTGAGCTACTTAACTCCCTAATTAGCAACGGTAAAAACAAAAGAGCAATCTGCAAACCTGAAGAATTGTTCTTCAATGAATTATGCAAAAACAAATGATGGCATCGACAAGTACGAAGTTTGGTGACTACGGCTTCTTCAGTTAGGCCATCCTCCACAGAGTAAGTCTTCATAGTCTCATAAACAGAGATAATGCAATACCCCTTTGCTGAACGGGATATTCCTGTACCCACCAAATAAGAATCTTAGTTTGTGATTTGCAAGTGAAATTTCTTAATCTTTCATAACTAATAAATATGAGGTGCTAATGAACAAAAAAATTGTTTGCTACTTAAGTGATCAAGGGAGCAGTCACAAGTCAGTAAAATAGGACTTCTAGCATAGGAAAGCTTTGAATTATAAAATCTTGGAATGAAATGGGTACAAATGGAGAGGAACAGATAGTGATGATTCATGTGTGCCTAGGAGGGTGTGTTTTTTTACTTGGCTAGCCACTAGAGGGGTTATTTTGACAATGGAAAATCTTAGAAAGTAGAAGGTTGTTTGTGTCAATCGGTCTTACATGTGCAACGAGGCGGGCGAGGATATGGATCACCTTCTTCAACATTGTGGTCTTACCATAAGATTATGGTGGGATATGTTTAGATGATTTCTCACTCCTTGGACAATACCAAGAACCGTGAAAGATTTCGATGCTCAGTTGGACGAGCGGGAGGAGGAGAAGCCAAAGGACTTCGAACGTGGTTCTAATTGCATTAACGTGGGTTGTTTGGAGAGAGATAAATAGGAGAGCTTTTGAAGGTGTAGAGTCAAGTTTCTTGCAGTTGAGGAGTAGTCTCCACTCCCTTATTTTCTTTTGGTGTAAACAGAAAGTTCCTCGTTGAATAGAGGATTGGGTGGAGTTTGCAGGGTATCATATCTTTTGGTATAACCTTTGTATAGGCCGTTTTGGTCATGTTTATGAATGAGAATACTTTTGCTTGATTAAAAAAAAGTCTACCCAAATTAGCTTGGAGAGATTAGTTGCTTGCCATATTCTGGCTTTTAGCTGGAGAATAAGTGGTCAAGCAGTCATGACAGAGGTCAAAGCTGGACAGTGCATTTGCTGGGAAAATATTGATAAACACAAGGTCAGCATTATGAATACTGAAAAAAGTAAGTCGTCAGGCTTGGACGTAAACAACTTACAATCAGAACCAATCAAACAATGACTCTCTGCTTGCAAAATTATTAACATGTTCCATGCATGGGCAGCAATTATTTAGCTTTAAAACTAAATAGCAAGAGAAACCAACTTATGCAAGAAAAATTTGCTCTGTCATACCAACAACAGGCATTGGTTCTGGAAAATCAAGATCTTGATCATCTCCAACAAGGCCAAAAACATAGGGACTGCCTGGATGTGCATGCCTAAAATATTGAGAACAATTCAATTGTAAGACGCCACATATTAGGATCATTCAGCATCCTTTCTAAGAGTATAAAAATGTTGGTGATGTAGATCTTACGAATATGTAAGATACTTTGGTTATGCTAGCATGCTGAAAAGCTTTACTCATTTCTCACAACTAATATTTTTGCATCTTAGCAGACATTAATTAGTAGATTCAACTGACATGGAAAAATCCAAGTGATATAAAAATAAAAACTGTATAATCGCACCCACAAATAAAATTGTACTTAAAAGAAATCTTGAGCTATTCATAAGTAATTACCCTGATATAAATCGGCTCTTACGAGCACGAGCTTGAGTTGGACCCTGAACTTCCTCCACGACACACTACAAATGCAAACATTACACAGCTGTACAAATTACTAAATCTGTTTTGTGCATGACTAAAAGGAAATGAGGACAGAGAGGCACTTGAAGCTATATGTGGAAAAAAGATTAGGAGGGAAGAAGTAGGGAGATATCAAGTCAAATGGTCGAAAGAACATCATAAGAAATTAGCACTTCAAGACATTAATCAGATCATAACTTCACTAACAAAATACATCATTTTAATTCTTCAAGAGAAAAGGCCAACTCTGACAAGTTCATTAACATACCAATATAAATTTCCACTTCACCTCTCATGTATTAGAAATATATAAGAACTTATCCAACAAAAGGGATAATGAAAGTTCCAACTGACAGTTTGGGGATGGCACTAACCACAGAGAAACCATTACGTGTGAGATCATCCAACGTCTGTCTTAGATTCTGCAAAAAAGAACAAAAAATGACACAGTTTACATGACAACGAGAGAAGGAATAAAAGTAAATAAATACCATAAATTTATCTTGAAAAAACAACTTAGGGACATCAGAAAACTCAGCATACTCTGCTGGCAGTTTCTCGGGTATAATCGTGCAGGAAGATGACAGAATAGAAGTGCACAAATTTTATTTTATGTCGATATTGAATAGGAACCAATTCAAGGAAATAAGGCAGTCAAAGGTATTTTCACTCAACGAGCTTCAAAAAGAGGGAACCAGTTATGCTTGAAAGTATTAAAAAAAAGTAAAGGCAAGGAAATAAAAAGAGAAAATCAAATGATCCCCTATTTCATTGGCATATTAACAGCTTAGACATAACAAAGAGCTTCTTAACCCTGTTAAAGGAGGTAAAGAAAACAAATCCCGCCTCAAGCTTGGTTTACATGGTCACAAATCTGGTTCACAAGAGAAATCGGTTCTGAACCCTACATTAGCATGGAGGTCCATTCATGCAAAATATGTAATCCATGTAATGTATAAACCTTTTGAACAGAAAATAAAAATAGAAAAAATATATATATAAAAAGAAAATGAAAACAGTACCACAACTGGACAACCAGCTTTTGGTATACTATCTGAGCGCAGGCCACCAAATGGATTTAAACCAGCATATTCCACAAGAATACAAGCATCGAATCCAATTGCTTCATAAAAATCTCCTACCTGGAAAGTCAAAGAAGAACAAGAAGCACTCTTCATTGATTTTGATCACAGCAGTCCTCATTAATTGAGGAACTGCTGATATGTGACTTTCAAGCACATTTAAAAGAAGAGTAGATGAAAGCGGTAAAACCATACTCTACAGAGCAAAACTTCACGTGGAAATTTTGACTTGAACTGCAACATCTCCGAGTTAAGTGTTCCCTCTTTAAGACTGATAAATTAACAAAGGTAGCCTTTGGTAAAAAAATTGAAGTAATAGACAGACAAAAACACAAAGAGACATAAGCATATGATAAATTTACAAAGGTAGCCTTCAGTAAAAAACTTAAGCAATATGAGACAAGTAATAGACAGACAAAGACACAGGGAGACATAAGCATATGTATATTACACATGTGTAAACTTTTACATGTCTGTGTGTAGACCTGACAGTTAGTAGTCTGTACATAACTATTTTTTGCTTCTTGATAAGGTCAAACTTGAACTGTACCCTACAATTGTTTTTTGGACGAATTTGTTGCAGCCTGGATTCATTTTGCTTTTAAACAAGGTTTCCTAAACCATGTCAGAAATCAAATATTATTATTATGGGTTCAAAATGTATTATTTGATTTCTGATATGAATTAGGGAACCATGCTGAAAAGAACATCATTATAGGTTTTCGCGCAATTTGCAAAGCTTGTCAACCATCATTTAGCACATATTTATTAATATATGATATAAGTATTGAAAGCACCCCTAAACTCGGCGTGAACTATTAGTTTCATTCCCGAACTATTGACAGTCATAAAAACACTCTTTTACTTGACTAACTGAATTTAAATACACCCCCGATCTTGCAACATGAGTGAAATACATTCCTAAATTTTCGCCAAGTTTAGAGGTGTTTTCAACACTCCTCTCGGCCTTTTATTAAGAGTTTTATGCTCCTACAAGAGTTTGAGACCACTTACTATGTCATGTTGTATATCGGGGATGAATCTAAGTTTAACTAATCAAGTAGATGGGTGTTTTTAAGGCTGTCAACAGTTCGTACGGAACTAATAATTTGCAACAAGTTCAAGGGTGTTTTCAATATTTTTCTCTTAATATATTTATGTCCATACGAGTATAGGCAGAAAAATTCAGTATGACAAAATTGAAATACTTAGATATTGGAGTTTGCATTTTCATAACTCAACAACTCATTTCTGACAAGATTATATCTATATGAGGATATTAAACCATGAATGTGCAAACAACAAGAATATCAATAAGGAAAAACGAGGAGATCTCAAAGAAAGTCTAAAACTTTCCTCAGCGGAACTTCAGATTCCAATCTATAGAGGAAAATGTTAGAATAGGAATAGGTATATACAATCCTACTTAAATAGGAATAGGAATAGGAGTAGTAAATAGTATCCTACTTGGTAAAGGATTGTACTGTAGTGTCTATAAATAGGGTCTCTCTGTAATAATTTAGATACAACACAATTCAATAATATTTCTCTTATATTTCTCATAGAATAAACTAAGAAATACAGAAAATCTATTCATGTAGATTTACAAATTAAAACCTGTAGTTGAGTTTACGGAGAAAAACAAAGAAATTCTCCCAGAATCCTTCTCTTTTTTTTTTCCTTTTGAAATGGTAAGGATTGAGATTCACCCAAAACCCATGATTAAACTCTTCTCTGAATTGGAAGAAAAACTAGTTTAAAGATTTCCTAAAGGAAGGATCAAAAGACAACATGAAAGAACTAACCTTCCATTTCTCAAACTCGGATCCACACCCAGCAAGTTACAATATGTAAGCCTCTTAGCCAGTAGAACAGAAGAAGGCTTTCTCAAGAATTCCATTCTCTAAAACATAAAATCATGGTGGCATAACAATATACACTAATTAAACAATTGTTTGCACTTGTTAAAAAAAGGAAAAGAATCACATATTTAAATTCTGCAATAAATCAACCCAGTCATGAAGAGAAATGTAGACAACCTCTTTCCACCACATAATATTAACATAGTCTTTTTCCTCTGGAACACTTTTTGGTTGTTTGAGTTTTTTTGCTGTTGTGGCAAAAAACTTCCGCTCCTTCAAGCAACGTATCTGCTCTCGGCACCTGACACTCAACAGGTGACAGAAATTGCAAACAAAATTTATTTGGATCCAGAAATTTGTCATCAGTAGTTGATATGAGAGTTATATGAAATAATTTAATCAAAAGAAGCACATATAATCTAATCCCGAAACTTAGAATAATAAAAAGGAACTTCCTTATTTCACAAATATCTTAAGTGCGTCCAACTCGCAACAACCTGTAGGCAAGCACTATATGCCATCAACCATAAGTCATTGATTATTCCTCTATTTAAGAATTCTCAGTTAACTATCAAATATACAAGAAAAACTCTGATCCTCTTTACACCTTCAAGCCTTCTACTTCTACTTCTACTTATTCAGTACTCAAAGCTTTATCTTTCCATGAACCATTTAAAGAACATCACAGGTGCAGTAGCTATCAGTGATTCAGCCTCAAACTGATATAAAGACCTAGATGCAGTTTTAAGAAACCTTCTACAACTTGTCCAAATTATGAAAGATGCAGGCTTTAATAGTGCATCAAGCCCAAACAAGACAGTATCAAAACCACCAGGTATGAAAGTTTCAGAAATTATAAACACGGAAGAGAAAGCTCCTAATTCCATGGCTGAAAGAGCAAGTTTTCAGTTAATAAACTAAACCCCCGCTCAGTGGCGGAGCCAAAAATTTTATTAAGGTGTCCAAGAATAATGGTGTGTGGCTGTCAAAATAAAACAAAAAAATATTGTACTATTTGGGGTTCGAACCCTGAACTTCTTCATTTAAATGGACACCTATTACCACTACGCCAAAAGCATAACTTTTGTCAAGGGTGTCCAACTTTAAAAATATATCCTTTAAATGTAGAATTTGACAAATATATACAACTTAATTTTCCGACAAAGGGTGTCCAACTAGCTCTAGCTACGCCCCTGCACCCCGCTAGTAACTAGGATTGCAAGGGATTAGATAATCTATCAGACGCGAATCGGTTATATTAGAAGAGAGAGTCATTCGCTTCTTATATTATTCATCTATTTATTTATCTTATCTTGTAATGCACCATTGAGCCTCAAATCGAGTTTATTCAAATCTCTGCTCACACGGTGCCTCAAGGAGAACCTGAAACTGGTTGTTACTTCACAACAAGAAGCATACAGAGCATTCACAAAGAAATGGTGTGCATGGAAGGAATAAAGCAATGGTGAGAGACTACTCAACGAGTGATACCTATCTTACTTTCCCTTTTTAAGACAACAAAGATTATAAAGTCACCCTTATACAAAAGTAATGCATCAAGTATGGAATCACATCAGCTGCTACTCTTTGATATCCTCGTCAAATAGGAGAGCTAAGGGTTTCTGGTAGATAAATTTTTTTCAATTTAGAGAGAGCTCTAAGTTCTTAGTATGAGTCGGCTCATTTACAGTTAAATGGAAAAATGAGATTTAGTAGGATCACCAAGCTAGCGGATCGGAAAGGGTTGTATGAGTGTCCTACTCCTGCGTGAACTTTTTGAAAATGAATCACCTGCACTTATTCTTAATTTAGAAAGTAACAAATTTGATTAATGTTAGAGCAAGAAAGGTGCCACATACAACACCATACTATTGTAATGATTCACCAAAAATGTTCACCGGCTACCTTCCAATAGTACTATAACTTTTGGAAAAAAGGGTTGAAGCAGCATTGGCGCGAGGTGGGGGCCAAATTTAGTTTATCCTTCATTCATGCTTTTGATCTATCTAAACTCCAGAAAACTCCATTGGTCTGAAGTAGAGAAAGGTGGAAGCTTGGGCAGAACTAGTCACCCTGTCGTGAAAGTAGCATGATTAGGTGATTTTCCACATATATCGGAACTAAGAAAGGTATGTTTTTTCACTTGGCTAGCTACAAGGTGAGTGATCCTGACAGCGGAGAATTTGAGGAAGAGAAAGATAACTAGTGCCAGTTGGTATTTCATGTGCAAAGAATTAGGTGAAGATGAATCACCTTCATCTACATTGTCGGATAGCTTCTTGTTTATGGTGGGAAATTCTGGATGGTTCATCCTTGAGTGGGTGATGGCGAACACTGTGAAAGAAACAATATTATATTTTATTTTTTGAAAATGGTAATGTTGTACTCTTCAGCATTAAGGATATGCTGGTGACCTGCAAACAGAAGGGAACAAAAGAAGAGAAAAAAAAATACTTACAAGGATCCTAATAATTCTACAAGGCATGAGATGTTGCTCCTCTAGCATTTATGTGGATCACATAGCAAGAGAGGAATAGAGGAGCTTTTGAGGGAGTAGAGAAAGACTTTGTTTACTTGAAGAATAGCCTGTTTTCTCTTATTTCTTTTTGGTGCACCCATAGGATTCCTACATGCATAGATGAGTGGGTGTTATTTGTAAAAAAAAACATGTCCTCTTGTGAGGTTTTCTACTTTAGGTATACTTCTTGTATACAGGCAAGCTTTTGCCCTTTACTAATAAAATTTATTACTTTATCAAAAAAGAAAGTAGCATGACTATGTGTCAATTTTAACAGTGAAATCCAACAATTTGAAATAAAGAATGACAGCGAATTCAATTAACTTTCTCACTTCCAATTACAGAAGTGAATTTTCAGGTACTAAAGATTGAAAACATCAACCTTGATGAGCGCATATGGAACCGCTGTTCAGAACCTCAGTATCCCTGTTTCTTCTACTCAAAATAAGCGCAATTAATTTCAAAAAGATTTACTGCATTTGGTTCCTCTTATTGATAACCTTACTGCATTTGGATCCTCTTTCAACTTCACGAAGCAATGAGTCCCTCCTCTCAAAATCCACGATACAGTCTCACACCACCATCACCACCCCACATCCTCACAAAACACCTACCTAATAAAAAAGGGTACTAGTTGGTAGATCAAAAAATAAAAATGGTACTGCCCTCATTTATGCATCAGAGACTAAAGCCAATTTTTTTACTAAGGGGTTCAAAATATGAAGAATTAAACCCACGAAGAATTCAAAGGCAGTTCAATATCCACTATATATACATAAAAAAATAATTTTAATCATGTATAAATAATGTAATTTTCCGCCAAAGAGGTTCCGATAAACCCCTGGGCCCTTACTAGCTCCGCCCTTTCTAAAGCTTAAGCAACTTAACTAATAGGCACCAACAAGAGTTGTGGTGGTGTGGTAAGTACTCCTTCATCCATAACCAAAGGCCTCGGGTTCGAGTGTCCTGGTTACAAAGTCGACTTTGTTAGGAAGCGCTTTACCAACGCAGGTACCGAACACTGAATGGGAAACCAAAAAAGAAAAAAAAACTTCACTAATAGGCTTCACTCAACTCTCCAATACTAACACACAAAGAAGAAAACAAAACAAGATATTAGGGCCTCTAGGTCTTCCTACAAATAACATATACAAGAAAAAGAAAAATCACATCTTTTTCAAACAAGATAACAAGTTGTTGCCTTCTGAACTTCCACAACCACCCCACCCTTAACTAACCCAACAATTAGTGATCTTTTCTCCAAACACAGAAACAAATACACAAAAAGCTTTCAACTTTATGCAAGAAGAAAAATCACATCTTTTCAAACAAGATAACAAATTCTTGCCTTCTGAGCTTCCACAAACCACCCCATCCTTAACTAACCCAACAATTAGTGATCTTTTCTCCACAACCAGAAACAAATACATAAAAAAACTTTCACCTTTATGCAAGAAGAAAAATCACATCTTTTTCAAACAAGATAACAAATTCTTGCCTTCTGAGCTTCCACAAACCACCCCACCCTTAACTAACCCATCAATTAGTAGTGACCTTTTCTCCACACCAAGAAACAAATACATAAAAATCTTTCAACTTTATGCAAGAAGAAAAATCACATCTTTTTCAAACAAGATAATAAATTCTTGCCTTCTGAGCTTCCACAAACCACCCCACCCTTAACTAACCCCACAATTAGTGACCTTTTCTCCACACCAAGAAACAAATACATAAAAAACTTTATGCAAGAAAATGGAAGAACTTACAGAGTATGTGGAGAGAAAGAGAAGAAACGCCGGCGAAGTGGTGGACGGAGGAAAAGGGACAGTGAACGCCAACGGGGAACTGAAACGACAACGTTTTTCGCAGTAACCCAATACATTGCTCGATATCAGTGCACAATACACAGTGTCTGTGTGTATTGTTCTTCCCGGCAGAGAAAGGTGTACTTTATATTATTTTCAAAAAAAAAAAACTCTGTGGGAATTACAATTAAACATTAGGGAAAGAATGTTAGTAGATACTCCCTCCGTCCCTATTTACTTGTCCATATTTCCTTTTTTGGTTGTCCCTATTTAGTTGTCCATTTTGACAAATCAAGAAAGGACAACAAATTTTTTCCTATTATACCCTTATTTACACTTCTTGAAAATTGTAAAAGTGTATGTTGTTTCCCTCCAATTTATTTCACTTGAATTCAAATAAGTGGTTGTAATTTTGAAGTGAAAAGTTGTCATAAGGGTAAAATTGTAACTTCACTGTGCTAATCATTGTTGCCTTAATCTGTGTGCCATTTCTAAAGTGGACAACTAAAAAGGGACGGAGGGAGTATTGGTATTCAGGACGGATTAATTATTTTTAGAGTCGAGCTAATTGCATAGTTATACGAAATTTTGTTAGGAAAGATCTTAAGAATGAATTACATTGAAAATAGTGAATTGCATTTTAAAGAGAAAATGGTCTAGAACCCCCCCAACCTATATCCGAAATCTCAACTACACACTCCAACTTTACGAATGTCCTATTACCCACCTGAACTTTATATTTATCTATTTTATACACACCTAAGTGCTGACCTCAACACATAAACCAAATAATTAGGCCTGCGTGATTCCACGCGCTGGGTCCCTCACCTCTTCAACTCCCATTTCTTGTTTTTTCCACCATTTCCCTCCTAAAACGTAAAAGAACAAAAAAAATCCTCCTTTCTCATTTTCAATCCTTCTCCATTAGCAATGCCCTCTGTTAACTAAGAGCTTAGGTTGACAGTTCCACCGAAATGGCCATAGCGCAGCCGGCGACGGTCATACGACCTTCAGACCAATGCAAAAATATACCTATGGAGGAGACGGATCTTCTCCAACAAGAATCACCTTCAAATTACAATCCAGCGATCACTGTTGGGAGTGATTCAGATCGTTCCAATTGATGTAATCTACACCTCAAGATCTACCTAATACTACAAAATCACAACATTCTATCTTACCATTTGAGAGATCTGCTCAAGCGATTTTGGGGGGAGAATCACCAAAATCGCCTCTCAACTCAAACGGAGTTTCGCCGACAATAACTGAGATTCAGGGGAAACAAATCACTATGCTGGAATCCCCTCATCCCAGCGCACTCAATTATGTAAGTAAAATCGATATGAATAGAGGTTGTAATTATGGCGAAGATTCAGGTGAACTAGCCGGAGCTCACGATATGAACAGAGGTTGTAATCGTTGGAGAAGGAGGAATTTTTCGTCAAAATTAACGTTTTAACGCGCCTAGAGGAAGTGAGAACACCTCCCATGACAGGTCAGCACTTAGGTGTGCATAAAATAGAGAAATATAAAGTTCAGGTGGGTAATAGGACACCCGTAAAGTTGGAGTGTGTAGTTGAGATTTCGAGTATAGGTTGGGGGGGTTTTAGACCATTTTCTCCATTTTAAAAGGAAGTTTTCTTTCAATAGATTGTCAAAAGCAAAGCAATGCGTGATTGTTTTGTCATTCTCTAATTGTCTGGCTTTTAATCCCCAAGTAATGATGTTTCAATGTGTTTTATCACAATCATTTCGATCAATTATTCCTTTTCTGAACCATTAATAACGGATGGCAGAAGACAATGATGTACGCATTATTTTAGAAAATGGTGAAAATTTAGTTATCATACTTATAAATAACTCAAACTGCATAATCAACCGATGAACCAACCGTCAATAATTTTTTGCTAAGTAGTGTTAGTTTATTAAATATATATGTATAGTTGTAAGTCCACCCCTGACGGGATATGATTTTGTGTGAGAGAGATAAAGACTAGCCTCTTCTTCTTGTAATTTTATTTAGTCATCGAGTACTATTTATCAATATATCTATTTTATATTTTACTATTTTGTTCTTTTATTTTTTTATGATGTTACGTTGATTATACTCTTTTTGAACTAAGAATTTATCAAGATGGTTTTTCTATCTCAGATAATGATAAAATTTACTAACATATTATCTTTCTTAATTCTTGTTTATGATATTATGCTCGAATATATTATTATTGATATCACTATTGTGCTTAGGATAAATGAAACTGGCTCCCCTCCATTTCGTCAAGTGCACGTCTAGATTAGAGACATGTGTCATATTTAAAGTTTAAAGGTCAAGATTATATTATATTAACAAATATCATAACCATAGTTAAATTAACTAATTTTAGAAAATTAATCTCCAAATTTGGTAAGAATTACAATATATTCTAAACAAAATTTGATACTTATTAATATCATTAATTTCATATTATATTTTTTTATTTAATTATTAAATTCTATGATATTTAAGGTGAGAATCAACTAAACAATTTATGTACTACTAAACTTTGCTATTGAAATATTATATATACTATGTTGAGAAACAAAACAAAAAAGTTAAGAATTATCACGGTGGAAAAAAACCATAAAATAAAAATAAAAAGATGAAAGATTTTTAGAATTAAACGTGAATACCAAAAATATTTCAAGGAGAAAATGTGGCTATTGTGTTTGAAAGGGAAAAATATACTATTTTTTTAAAAATAAATACTTTTATCTCTTTTTTCTTCTTTTTTTTGCGAAAGAGAAGATAACATTGTTTTAAATGTAAATGTTTTTGAAGATTATTATTTATCACATTAAATATAAACGTTTCATGTTCTACAATTTTAATATTTAAATGTAGATTAAAAATATAAGATGAAATTAATGATATTAATAACTTTCAAATTTTGTATGGAATATATTGTATTTTATCAAATTTAGAGAGCAATTTTCTAAAATTAGTTAACTTAACTATGATTATGATATTTGTTAATACAATATAATCTTGACTTTTAAACTTTAAATATGACACATGTCTACTAATCTAGACGTGCACTTGACGAAATGGAGGAAAGGGGTAATGGAGGGGAGCCGGATCCAGGATAAATTACCCTAGACATCTTTGTAATGTGATTTAATTGCAAATATTACTAATTCCATAGCTATTTGTATTCAAAGCACAAAAAAATATCACCTAGTAAAAATTACACCCTCCGTTCAATAATAGTTGTCCATTATACTATTTACGATGTTCAATAATATTTGTCCACTTTATGAAGTCAATGAATAATTTTACACTTAGTACCTTATTTACCACTATCAGTAATTATAGTCATTTTCATATTACATTTTTTCAAGACATTGTATTTATTATATTTATAGTAAAATTACTCTTTTATTTATAGTTTCTTAAAAAATGTGCAAAGTTAGACAAATATTATTGGACACAAAATGTAATTTCATAAATAAAATTAGAAGGTCGATTGAGATTTGAGAACCTATTCAATGAACTTTATGACTTGTTGATCTAATCTTTAACCTTTAACTTGTAAAGCAAAATGTGAAATAATCATGAAATTTCACCCAACTAGAAACAAAAAAAGACAATTAATTGTATTTTAAATTAATTACCACTCTTTTTGAGGTATGCATCAATCTCACCGCTGACTAGATGTTAAAATGTCTCACATTTATAGAGGGATGAAGAATTGGTATCTATATATAATATATTGCTGAAGCATGCGACAGCTCGAAGGTACAATATGAATGAAATATCATATAAATCGTGTTACCTTATCTCTATTTCAAAAAAATTGTTTCTGTGATCACACAGCCAAGTGCTAGAATGCCTGCCACCACTGGCTCACTTGGGTTTATTTTGTTTTCTATTAATTATATTATAATAAAGTTTGCCTTTTTTTATACCATAACGTTATGGTTTAGTGGTCAATAAAGTGAGTTGAGAACTCGAGGTCTCACGTTCAATTTCTAGCACAAAAAAAAACACTAGGTGATTTATTTTCATTTGTCTTAGCCTTATTGGACAAAGTTAGTTGGTAGCTATTGCTGGTGGGAGGCAATGGGTATCCCTTGGTAGTGTCTTAACCTTAGTGGGCAAAGTTAGCTGGTACATGTTGCTGGTGGGAGGCAATGGGTACCCCTCGGTGGACAAAGATAGCTGGTATATGTTGCTGGTGGGAGGTAATAGGTATTCAGTGGATTTAGTCGAGGTCTTAGCCTTAGTGGACAAAGTTAGCTGGTACATGTTGCTGGTGGGAGGTAATAGGTATCCATTGGTGGACAAAGTTAGCTTATACATGTTGTTGGTGGGAGGTAATAGGTATTCAATGGATTTAGTCGAGGTGCGTGAAAGCTGACGGAGTGAGTACTTTCTAGCTTCTGGTTAACTTTCTTTCCTATTGAACAGCACATGAAAGATGTTGAAAATGGTAAAACTATATGTCTAGATTTATGTCTTTTAGCTGTCCTAGTTGCATGCATGAATGACCTTTTGTATTATCTAGTATCTTTTATGGTATTATTAATGTGGCTAGATTAAAGTGTATGTGTGAAAGTACTTAATGGTGTTATTCTAGAAGACTATTAACACCTATATAAGCCCTTCTGGCAAACTATGGTTAAACGTTTATATGCTTTGGTTCATACTGTTGTGTGTTTGGTAGGGCTGACTAAGGAAGATGTCTAGTTTTGAGACTGTCTTTGATTTTATCACGAGTATCCAAAATCACGAAGAGATCTACCAGCAGATGGTAGCCACAGATGGGAGCTCTGATATTGACTTGAATTCTTGGGAACTGTCTACAATTGGCATTGGTGAGAAAAACTTGCTGAGAGATGTTGATATGGTAGAGAAATTTCGTTGTCCAGGCATGGATGTCGGGTTCAAGTTGAACTCGGCTTCTCTTGCGAAGCAAAGGGTGGTGAAAGGACGCGTGAAAGGGAATCTCTCATCAATGAAAGCCTATGATGAGACATTCTTGATGGAGGATACAATTAAGTTAGCCCCAATGGCAAGGAGAGTTCTCTGCCCTGGCAGGAGTGGGTTGGAAATGCTTAACAATGCCCCGTTATATAACAAAGTGGTGATGGCTGTGGCAGGTATTGAGCCTGCCAGCTTAACGGACGTAACTATGATGTTTGCTTGTGAGAAGCTTGCACTAAAACCTGACATGTGTCACGTGTTCTTGAAGGGATATTTGATGTTAATGGCATTTAACTTAGCTGTCATATCAGATGTGTATAACTACAAGAAAAATGATATTAAAGCAGAGTTGGTTGCTGGTGTGTCGCCAGATTCTAAATTGAATCTGCTGATGATGGAAGATATTGTAGTTGACGTGGCCCATTTTTCACCGAATGAGGTGTCTCTATTGGTCGAGATGTCTTGTGAGTATCCAACAAGGCGATATGGTGCTGCAAACATTTATAATAATATATACATGTCCAAAGATAATGTTACGTTTATATCGGATGATCCAAGTTACAAATTCCCAGAGGATATGGATTATGGTAGTCCTGATATGATGTGGATGAACCTGCTGAATATAGCAATCAAGTTCCATACTCTTGATGATTTACGCGAGGTGATAAGAGACTTCCGTGGAATACCCGGGATGTTGCGTGATGTCTCTCGATGGGGGAAGCAGAGTTGTTTCACCTTGAGTTATCCTCGAAGCTGTAGTATTAGCACTGCTGTTGAGAGTTTGGCGGAACAGTTCCCTGGCGTGCTGAGAAACAGCAGGTACTATAGTACTAGTAAGTGTGTGGTTGTGGATTTGTTGTTGAGTAACATGTTACGAATGAGTTGCTACAACATAATAGAACAATTAGGTGCCATTGGTAAGGTAGGTTGCCCTTCTGATGATACTTTGAACGATCGGTTCTTTAACTTGAATCTACTGAACCAGGGGTTGAAGTCAGATGTTGAGGAGAGCAACTCCTTGCTGCAGGAGTGGTATGGAATAAAGAACTGTATCATGCCAGTGTCTTTCGGAGGGAAGCTGAAGGACATGGTTGTTAAAATGGCAAGTTGTATGAGAAGTGGTGATACTTCTTTTCTCAGACCACAACTATTGCATCCTTTGCCTTACTCGGCTTCAAGGAACACTACATGGGCTGTGGTGCATGGATTGAGGAAAATCGAGCTTGAATCTACTCAACTAATCAATGCCACATTGAAGCTTAATCAAATGACCAAAGCATACGCATGGGTGATGGGTGTTCGTGACACATTACCTAAGGTTGGGTTGAATGCACTGTGTGAGGTGTACATTGAGAACCTCACTTCAAAGGAGAGTGAGTTCATACAGTTGGTGTTGGGTGATTATGATATCAACATTAAGCACATGTTGGACAAAGAATTGGACCCGAGAACTGATGAGCTCAAACTGGGGTGCAGGCCCTTTTATAATTTGTCCTTTCCGGGGACAAGGTGCACTGTCGTGTTCGACTCAGATGGTGTTGGGATGATAATTTTTTACGGTGCTTCCAGTTCTGTGAATGCCAGTGAGTCGTTGGGAGTTACTACTCAGGCTGCAACATTTGGTGGAGCTGCTGTCAGGACAGCTGCAGCGGCTGCACTTTCTGAGGCCGATGTTGACAGATTGGTGGATGTATCACCTCAAGAGACTGCACATGGTGTGGCACCAGATCAGGCAGGTCGAGTATTTGGTGTGGAACGAGCTGGAACTGATGCTGCTGACACTCAAAGAGCTGGTGGGCATACAGCTGGTGGACAGGCGGGCTCAGGACGTGGCGCTTCTGTCCATGGTGGTCGTGGTCGCACAGCGAGATGGAACTGGACAAGCAGGTAAAGACATTCCAGATGGAAATCACTTCTCGACCTTCATAAATGTTAAGTGTCTTGATTCACATGTCTTTTAATTATTCTAGCTAGGTGCATGATCTTTTGTATTATCCAAGTCACTCTTATGGTATTAATGTGGTTAAATTTAAGTGTGTGTGTGAAAGGTACCTAATTGACAAGAGGGAGTTACTCCATTGGTAAGCACCTCTCCCTTCCAACTCGAAGAGTGTGAGATTGTTTTTTTTATTAGCGTCCTTTTTTGTGTATGCATGTACTAAGAGTCAAGAGACATTAGCTTAACCCTCTATGAGGAGTCGACATGTATATATAGCACAATCTATAAATACGTCTAACCTATAAGACAATCATAAAAATTTCTAAAAGTGTCAAAATAAAAATAATAACAGGAGACACGCTCGAAAGTACAATATGAATGAAATATCGATCATATGAACAGTGCATTTTGGAATATAATTCAGTCAGTGATAATATTATAGGCGGCTGATACATAATGCTATCTTAGATCTACTTTGATCAAGAAACTGTACAATATTAGAAAATGAAGGACCTTTTTTAGTGTCGGTATCAAAATCTAATTGGTAAGATTATACTTCATTGATCAATTATGATTCTTTATTTCAACATTCAACAGCTATACTAGTCACTTTTTGCCTTCACGCATTTTTATTCTTTCTTAAATTTTGTGTGTCAAGTCAAAATCATACAAATAAATTGAAACGAAGGGAGGAAGTAATGGTCAAAAAACAACAACATGCATTTTGTCCCTATATACAAATGTCATACAGGATCTTTTACTACAATTCACAAAGGACAGTTCAGAAGCTAAGTGTGTTCTCTGCTACTGGAAATGGCTTCTTTTTCCACCAGCTTCTACTTCTTGTCTCAGCAAGGTATGCCGGTTCGTGCAAAAATCAGTTTTTTTTTCACAAGAATTGATCAAAATCACTGTGATCCAACTTTGTTTTTTCTCTTTTATGTGCAGAATGTCGTGTCTTTATCTGATTTCTCTCCTCTATATCAGTTTCCCACTCAAAGTCCCAGGAGAAAATTTTCCAAGAAAATTGTTTCTGTGATCACACAGCCAAGTTCAAGAATGCCTGCCACCACTGGCTCAGTTGGGTTTATTTTGTTTTCTATCAAATATTTATACTAATAAAGTTTGCCTTTTCATATACCTACGCGTGTGGCTTAGTGATCAATGAAGTAACATGAAAACCCTAAGGTCTAATGTTCAAACTCTAGCACAAACAGAAACAATAGGTGATCTCTTTCTATTTGCCCTAGCCTTGGTTGACAGAGTTAGCTGATATGTGATGCTGGTGGGAGGAAATAAGTATCCCGTAGATTTAGTTGAGGTGCGCAAAAGCTGGCCTAGACACCACGGTTATAAAATAAAAAACACTAGGTGATTTCTTCCATCCGTCTTAGTCTTAGTGGACAGAGTTACATGATACCTATTGCTGGTGGGAGGTGGCACCCTAGCTGGTATATCGTGGTATTAGTCGAGGTGATTTCTTCCCATCTGCCCTAGTCTTCGTAGACAGAATACATGTTACTAGTGGGAGGTGACAAGTATCCCATGAAACTAGTTGAGGTGCAAGAAAGCTGACCTAGACACCACGATGATAAAAATAAATAAATCCCCCTTTTCATATTTGGGGAATAAAGTTACAAACTTTCCCATATAGCTTAATGGTACTTGATGCTTGTGATTGTGAATTTTTTGTTTTTTTAGGTGAAGAGTTGGATGACTATGACTGAGAAGTTGCTGGCTAGGGCTTCTGAGAAGCTTCATGTGGTTCCAGGTGAGAATTTGTGGGTCAATGTTGATGTTTTGATGACAAATGATATTACTGGGCCTGGTGCTATTGGAGTATTTAAAAGAGAATTTGGAGAAAATGCCAAGGTATGCTAAAATAGCCATATCGTTGAATTAAGTTGAGTTTCATCTTTGTTGTTATATATAGTTAGAGATTTATGTCTATAGGTTTTCCGGAGTTTTTAGTTTATGAACATTCACAATTGACGAAAATGCTGGAAACTTCATGTATAAACAAGAGCAAGTTAGAGTTTGATGTCTCCAAAGATATGATTCAATATCTTACTCCTCATTCCTGAAAATTGTGTGACAAGTTGAAAAGGGATGCTTTCGTATCTTTACTTAAAATCATTCATATCTCGAACTTTTCCCTCTTGGTAACTCGAACTCCCAAGCTCATGGTATAAAGAGGGCAAGCATTCGACTCGTGTCTAGTTGAGTTCTGTATCACCTAGGATAGTAGAATTTCTGCAGTAACTTAACTATACAATATACCCCGCGATGAAGCAGCTGCACAGGATCAGTGATTCATAGTTGAGGTACTGAGAAAAGTTGATGCAGAGTACCATGCTTTTCTAAATTCTAATCTAGTAAAAAACTCACTTGAACAGACCTTGATTTTCCTGTTGGGACTTCTATGGCTCTAATAGTACCAGGGATTGTTTGGTTTCTTCAATATCTTCGGTCTGGGATCGTGAAAAGGTAGTTGTCATACCCGATCACTACATTTTCACAGCTGATGAATGAGCAAACTGTAATGTAGATAGGCTGAGGGACTTCTGCAACGAGCAAAATATTAAATACTTTTATGACATTAAGGACCTCGGAAACTTCCAGGTATGATACATGTACTGCAGGAGCATTCGGTCAATTTGCATCTGGAATCGGAAATACTGATGCAGGTTTTGTTCTGGGTACTGGAAAGATTTTGCTCAAGGTAAGTAACTACTTTTATCCTATTTCTAATTGTATTTGATTTTCACTTGGACCACATGTATAACTGTGCTTTCAGTTTGCATCTGGAGACCACATTCCTTTGATTCATATACTTGTTATTGAGTATAAGTAGAGAAAAAAGGATATATACCTATGATGAATATCTCAAAGTTTAGTTAATTTCGCGTGGATCGCATGTCCATGTCTCATTTGACATATATGGTATCTACCTAAAGTTTTAAATAGTGTCGTCATTTAAGGGAGGCAAGCGCATTGAAATGTTTAAAATTCTATTCTTTAGATCCCCGTGTTTCAGGTTCCTGCAGCTCTCACATAGATCTACTGTGAAACACAGGTTCCTCCAACTATCAGATTTGTATTGGATGGTGAAATTCCCAATTACATACTGCTGATAAAACAACATATGACTACCTTAAGGTATTTAGCTTATGATAAAACAACATATGAGTAGATGTCTTAATTACTCCCTTCATCTGCTTGATTGAGTGAAATAAGACCAGTTCTCTTGCTTATGAACATCTTTCATGTTTTTCCGTCACAGGACAAGACTACTGTGTATTATGAACCTGTCTACAGTGATGAGCAAGCCAGGTATCCAACACAAAAGAAATTGGTATATAACCACTCGTGTTTTTCCGTAACCATTACATGTCTCCAATTTCATTTATGAAGGAGAGCCGTGGAGCAATGTTAAAATTGTCTACATGTGACTTATAGGTCACGGTTTCAAGCCATAGAATCAGCCACTCATGCTTGTGTCAGGGTACACTCACTTGGGGTGCGGGCTTTTCCCCAGCCCTTGCGTAAACATGGATGCATCATGGCTTTGTTGAAGAAATAGCTTAGCATGTATGCTAAGATGATATTCATTATGACTTATGAGGTGATTGCCATAAATTCCAGATTTCTTGCGGAGTATCATTTCGACATCTCAAAGTTGGAGCCCTTAGTAGCAAAGGTGGGTCATAATTTGGCTGTTAATACTTTGACATATACATCACAAGTGTCTACTGTCTTGTTTGTGCATATGATCTTCAATATTTATATTTTTCTTCTCTTATAAATTTTCCAAATTTCCCTTCAAAAGAAAAACAAAGTACTTTCAATCTTTTCGTTTACTTCCTTTCCTATCGAATAGCACAGATGTTGCTTTTCTGATGTTCAAACAAACACATTTTCGTAGATTAAGAAGACAACATGCACTTAATTAAGTCTGCTTGAAATATCGTATTATTTATTTTTTTGCATGTACTCTTTAGCATCATTCTCCTGGTAATCGTGCTTTGGCCAGAGAATGCGAAGATGTTAAGATTGACAGAGTATATATTGGATCTTGTACCGGTGGAAAAACAGAAGACTTCATGGCTGCTGCCAAAGTTTTTCTAGCATCAGTAAGATGATATCTCTTTCTCAATAATTTCACTATGCATATGAAAAGTAGACATGTATATTCTGTTGCACTTGTCTTCTGTAATTTCTTATACCGCCCGTTTATTGACATGCCTGTCTTGCTGTTGATACACCAAAGTCCCCCAAAATGCATACCTTGTACCTTTCCAAATAGATCATATTCCTTTGATTTATAGCTGAATAAGCATTTTGTGCTTGTTAAGCTATGTACAGTACTACACCTAAAGGTGTCTGTGTTTTGTGGTTGAGTTAGGCTCAAGTGTCACGTCTTTACATGGTATCAGAGCTAGGTTCATCCCCGTATGGGCTCCCGTTCCGCACTCCTGTTGGGCTTGCGTGAAGGGAGGGGTGTTAGAATCGGTTAAGAGTCCCATGTTGGTTGGGGAATGGTGATTTGCATATATGGACTTGAGGTAATCTTCCCCTCGTGAACTAGCTTATGGGGTTGAATTAAGCCCAGGTGTCATATCTTTACCGTGCTTAAATGATGCTTCTTGGTGGAAGTTTGGGATGTGATATTTCTCAAACTTTTTGCCATATTGCTCCCTAAGAATTCTTGTTTGGTTGCATCTTTGGTGGATAACAGAGTTTTGCATTCTCACAGGGAAAGAAGGTCAAAGTTCCAACATTTCTCGTCCCTGCTATGCAGAAGGTTTGTGCTCTTACTGTATTGTTCTGCCGGATTCAGACACACCTATATACAACATGAATGTCATGGTGGCATACCATATGGTTAAAAAACAATCGCAAATAATCTGTCCGTTATAAGATTTCCTCCGGTTAATGGATAACCATTTTGTTACCATATAATGCAAAACCTTACAATGTCTCAGGTCTGGATGGATTTATATACTATCCCAGTTCCAGAATCTGATGGCAAAACATGTTCACAGATTTTCGAGGATGCTGGCTGCGATGCACCAGCAAGTCCTAGTTGTGGTGCTTGTATGGGTGGCCCTAGAGACACTCATGCTCGGTTAAACGAACCTCAGGCAAGCTTCACCAATGCTAGTGGTTACCATTCTTGCATTTTTTTCGATTGAGAGTCTTCAAGTTACTTATATGAAAAGTGTTAATCGCGCTATAGCAATGTGGAACAACATTGAGCTGATCAACGAACGATTTGATTTTCCCAGGTATGTGTCTCAACCACAAACAGAAACTTCCCGGGGCGAATGGGCCATAAGGAAGGTCAAATTTATCTTGCATCTCCATATACAGCTGCAGCATCTGCATTAACTGGTCACGTTACTGATCTTCGAGATTTTCTGCAGTAACAATCTTGATTATTCATGTTAAAACGCGCTAAAGCTTGAACTTTTCTTTGTAATGTACACCTGAAGATGTTTGTGTTTCTGACTTCTGTGACAAAATACAGGTTTTTCAAGTACTCTTAGCTGTAGTTACATTTATTTGCTTGTGGAAAGTGTAAAGACGTGCTGAATTTTTTGAATCGTCTCATTTAAAAGATTAGTGTCTCGATATAACTTCTCTATTATACTCTTTTTCCCTAACCACATGTGACAATATGAGATTCAATTCCTTGACTTTTACCTGTTCTGATAACATGTTGATAGCATGGAAATATCCTATTTGTGTAAATCACCCTATACCAAAATCATCACAAGTTAGTCTATTTTTTAATTTTATGTTATGATAGATGTATAAGTTACTATGGCCTAAATGAATTTCTGTTTTTTTTGGGTACCACAAATGAAATTGGTTTTGTGATCTTTTCACCCTTAATCAAAGATCTCGGATTTGAGCTTGCGTATGGAGAAAATCTTGTTGGCCCATGTTGGGAGCGTCATCCCTGAATAGGCCCTGCAGTGCACGATCTGAATTTAGTCGGAGCTCTAATGTGGACTCCGGACATCGAGTGGGAAACTTAAAAAAAACTTTCATGTTCTTTTTTGAGATAATTTGGAAGTGACACATAATAGTTGGTGACTGAGATCTGAACTCAAATAGTTTCATCATTGTGTAGGGTTCCTATTGTTAGGAAAAAGTGGAGAAAAAAGAATAAAACACAATGGATAGAGCATGAGGTTTATTATACTTTATGTTAGGAACCTTCTAGAAACACTATACTATTATAATTAGTATTTGTATCACTTAACGGAAGGGAAATCTTGAAGCAACGATAAAAATGTTTTTATTTAGCCTATAGGTTACAAATTCAATCGTGAGATGGATTATTGACCTTTGCGTTAAGACGAGGTATCTACGTATACACATAACACACGAGATGTAACCTTATATTGTGTATATTCATTAATTTAATATAAACATCGAATGAAAGTACACTTTACCATACTTATCTTGTCTCTTCATGGACTCCACAAGGAGTATTGGAATACAGTTGTCACTTGATCAATGAAATAATTATGTTTAGAATGACTAACATTAGTCATAATCAGAATTATTTCATCATAAGAATATAAATTAATATATAGTAGTGTATTTGTTTTTAGTATTCCAACCTTATCTAAACTACTATGTGATTTGACAAACTAAACATAGTATATGCTTGTGTTTAGGAGGAAATAATATATTTTACATGAAAAATGTATAAAGGAGCTAATTTTGATGGAACATAAAATTACTGGGGGACAAAGCTACAAACACATAGAGACAAAAGTCACTCTTGATAAAAATGACACTCTAACCCTACTCACCCCCCCTCCTTTGGAGGGCTAGAGGGTGAGGAATTAAATAATATTGAGTTAACTTGCACTATGGTACAGTAAGGAGATGTCAGAGGTTGAATGTGGTAGGTGTAAGATGACAGAGAGATAGGCCAAAGAAATCTTGAAGAAGAGCGATTAGATAGGACATGACACAATTTTAGCGTACCAAAAACATACCGTTAGTAGAAGGGCCTAAAGGTCGAGTAAAAGAGTAGAGGATCACTACATGATTGTTTCTTTCACTCTGTTTATTTATTATCTACCGATTCTTTTTCATCTATGTATGCTCTACCCTTGTCAGACTTCACTTACCAGATTATACTGGTATGTTGTTGTAGAGTTAAAGTGCATGCACTATATCTTGAAAGATAACTTTAGCACAAAGCACATGATAGGACTTTGCACAAACTCAACTTAAATTCTCAATTTTTTCAGTCATGTAATGATGGACAGAATCCACAATAGAGGATTTGATAAGAACTTTCAACATCTAGTGTCTTTAATGACTTCACCACTAGCAAATTCTATATAATATATTATCTTATATACCACCAAACAAAAAGAGATTGATCAACTCAACATTAAAATAAACAAATAAATAAATAGAATTTCTTGCAACAAACACAAAACACACAAAAAGAGGAAAATAGCATTCCCATATTTACATCATGAGAAAGGTAGGTAGATTTTGGGGCAAAAACATTGGTGTATCAACTATATGAGGGGGCTTTAGACCTAAACCAAAAAAAAAAAAAAAACACAAAAGTGGGGCACTTTTTGAAGAGTAAATGGTGCAAAACAAAAAATGCAACCATGAAAAAAGTAACATTATCCCTATTTCTGTTTTACTTTTTGTTTCTTCCAAACTTTTTTTACCAAGCATGTTCCTTGCACCAAAGCATATTTAGATAGGTTTTCCTTTGTGTCTCTCTTGTTTCTGAGGGATTCTTGGAGCTGAAAATAAACCAATAACTAGTGTTAGAGCTAAGGAAACAAAATGACAAAAAGGCTATATTGCTCGGACTCTCCAAAAATGCACTACTTTTGGATTTGGAGGATCCGACACACACCCTGCACCCCGCAGCACTTTTGAAGAGTTTTCGAGCAATATAACAAAAGGAGAGGTAGAGTGTTCTTTTGGCATGGTTGTGTACATACCAAGTCCATTAGCCTCAGAAGTCCTCATGATTCTTAGCCTTTTCACAGTGTTGAGAAACATCCTATAACACATGAAAGTATTAGAACATATAAAGAACTAGAGTGGGGAGCTAGAAATGATAACAACTTGATTTTTCATAGATGTAGATCATACTTTTTGTTAATGTCCTTCTATGCTACTTTTTCATGACATGTAGGGCCCGTTTAGGGAAAAACACACCTACAAAGAATTTCTTCATTCCCTCCAGACTGACTCGAGACCTCTAGTTAAGGATGGGCGAATCACATATATCTAACCACATCAAGGTTGATGGTGTTTCTCTATGCTTACTAATGTACTACATGTATCCATAATATTGATAGTTTTATGCCTATTATTTTAGTCGTTTTCATCTTTGTACTTCCTCGTTGGAAGATGAAGGTGTGATCATTTGCTTTCATGAATTAGGTCCACCAAAAGCACCATGCATAATATATATATACTTGAGAATTGAGATCATCAATACCTCATGTTTGCTAATATATTCTCTTGTTTTTTTTGGTTGGTGGGGGTTGATGAAAACTTAGACTTCTAATATTTCTATGCTTTTTGCAACTATAGAATATTACTAATTAAGGGAATTTCTTACCCAAATGGAACATCTCCAACAAGCATCCAGTCTCCTTCTTTATCCTCATATGTGAGCACAAATTCAGATGATCCATCCAAGAGCTTAAAAGACTTAGTTGCTTGTTCCTTTTCACCGCCTATAAAAAAAAGGGAACATCAACAATCACTTCATAACAAAAACATCACAAAGCATACAACCGATTCGTTTCATTTAGTCCCTTTTCTACCGTAAAACATGGGGTGCTCCACGCCCGTGTAGAAGTATTATGCACATGAGAAACAAATAACTACACTTGATCTTAGCCAAAGGCTGAGCAAACTAGTTTTTAGAGCTAATTTAAGTAACAAAACAAGAAGTAAACTTTGAAACAGAATCCATACTTTTGGTAGATTTGAAGAACATATCCTCCAAGGTTTCGGCTAACGATTCATAGCAAGTATGAGCATTCAAATCCACCTTTCTTCCAATAGGCAAACCATCCATATTCACCTTCACAAAACCAAGATGCCCCTTTTCTTTAACAGAAGCTGCATCATCCTTAGTGTTCCCATGATTGATTTTCTTCTTCGAGTGCTCCTTCTTATCGTTCCCGCCAACTCCCTTGTCTTCATCAGCATTTAGAACCTTTGATTGATTAACCAAGCTGTTCATTCTGTATGCCCTTATGGGTGGCCATCCCACAACCTGACTGCTTTCAGAAATCAAAATAAATGAATCATCAATTATATACTCAATCATCCATCAAGAATCCAAATTCATGAACTTTGTAATCTTAGCTAAAAAGAACAAGTCAAAAGAAAGAGTTAAAAAAAAAGAGAGGAAAGAGGCATATGAATGTTTGCAAAATGTTTTCTTTTTCTTTTCTAAAAAGTACAAAAAAAAATTGTCAAAAATTATCAAAGTTGCACTAAAAGTAGGATTAGAGGGAATATAATGATAGACTATCATAATGACAGGGCAACCAAAAGCAACTTTTTTGGCAGATTTTAGATTAAAGGTAATGAGATGAACAAAGGTGATGCATGCTCTGCCAGCTTCTTAGAACCAGTAATTAAAAAATTAAACTAATAACTCATCAAAGACAAAAGCTAAAACAAATTAAAGGAATATATACTCAACAATAAAAATCTATTCTTGACTAGATTAAACACAACTTTTCATAGATAAACATGAAACTATTGTAAAAAAAAGTTGTAATATTAAAGGAAAGAACTTTTCTTCAAGATCATGAAAACCCTACAAGGAATACACAATTTCTTGAGTAAACTAAACTTAAACTTCATTGTTAGTCATCAAAATTAATGTAAAAGCTCTAAAATCAAAGAAAAGAACTCTGCTTTAGGAACCAACAAAAAACAAAAGCAAAAACAAATCCAAGGAACACATAACAAAAATCCTAGAAAAAAAATGAAACTTTACATAAGAACCTAAAATCATTTACTCCCTTTTGAGATACACAATTTCTTGAGTAAACTAAACATGAACTAAATGCAAAAAGATTACTAAAATTAGAGAAAAGAACACATTTTTATGAAAATTTACGAAATTCTTGGAAAAAGTGAAACTTTACATAGGAACCTAAAATCACTAAGACCCTCTGAGAGAAACACTTTCTTCAGTAAACTAAACATACCACCATGGCTAAACATGATATAAATGCAAGAAAAATACTAAATTTAGAGAAAAGAACACATTTTTATGAGAAAAATATGAAATACTAACCTTGCACCAGTAGGAGGAGATCCAACCTCAGTTGTAGTACCAGCAAAATCAGCAGCTCTTTTAGTACCAGAAACACCACCACTAATGGATCTTTTAGCTGAAAATCCATTAGGAAAATCTTTAGCAGTTAAAATCCTACCATACTCACCCCATGGTGACTTCTTAGTCTTCCCCCCCACCCCACCACCCCCACCCCCACTGTTAAGGCTAAGACCTAACCCCAACTCAAGCTCTGTTTCATCCTCAGAACAAATACCCATATTGTAATCTTGCTCCATTTTTGCACCTTTTTCACTAAGACTTGGTTCCATGAAAAGGGGTTTTTTCAAGAATCTGTGAGTAAATTTCAAGAAAATGTGTAAGAGTAAAATGGGGTTACAGGGGATCAAGAGAATGTATAGATGGGGGGTTGTGGGGGGTGGGGTAAAATGGTGGAGGTAGTGATGATTATGGGACCCATATGTCTGGTAGTGCACCAAGCACTGTCCTTGAAAGATAATGAATTATAATTCTTGTTTGTTCATCAAGTTTCTTTAAAACCAATTTCTCAAAACTCATGATTTTGGGTTTTGGTTTTGTATTGCCATGCTTGCTTTTTTGGTATTAATTAGTACTTGAAAGTGTGTGTTTTTTCTTTGTCCCCTTTTGCCACCTCTTTTGTCCAAATGTTGGAAACAAAAAATAGTATGGGAATCATTTTGTATTTCTTGAGTTCTGTAAATGTCTAAAATTAACTTTACAAAATACTATCATGTCCATTTTTAATTATCATGTTACGTATTTTAAAAGTTAATTTTGACTAAGTTTTAAAATTATATTATATTATATTAATTTGATATTTTAAATAAAAAAAATTAGATATTCAAAAACTATACGAAAAGTACTATAAATTGTAATTTTTTACATATCGTAAAATGTAGATCAAAGTTCTTATCGTTTGACTCTAAAAGGGGAAACTATGATAATTAAAAGTGGACGGAGGGAGTAATAGTATTTAATAGCAAAGGTAAAATAGATACAAAAAGTAAATTATCTCTTGATTTTCTAAACTGGAGAATTTTTGTTGGACAACTATATATATTTAGTATACTAGACAATTATTGTTGGACGAAAAAAGTAATAATCTTTTAAAATTTTAAATTTAGTTACTACTAAGAGGTAAGGTGGAAAAGATTGTTTTATGCTTGGAAGCTTTCGATACCTCAGATTTATTTACTCGTGGCAACCTTCGAGCAATGAAAAAGGATTTTCGGAATAATGGAGATTAGTGATGTACAAAATAAGGCTCACAAGTAAAATGTTCTTGATTTGCTAAAATGTAAAAAAAAAAGTAAAATAAAATAGCTATTTCTGATATAGATTTCAAATAAATTGAAATTGAGGAAGTATTTCTTTTGCGTTTAAATAGGTATGATTTTACAAAAAAAATATATATATGTTTATCACAAAATACCTGTCTTTTTAGTGTTCAAGATGATATTATTATTTTTTTCTCATTTTCTTTTAGTAGTAATAGTGTTTAAGCAGATATAAATAAAGTAAATATAGAATGAAGAAAAGCTATATCTTAAAATTTAAATAATTAAGAATTTCCTTTTGTTAATTAGTATTTTTAAAATATATTATAAATAAAAATATGACAAATATTTTGAGATTACGAGAATAATTCAACTTTCAAAATTTATCAATTTAAATTTATATTATAAAATATATATTAAAAACTCTAATATATTTAGAGTTACAAGTATAATTAATTAAACATGCAGCTACTACATGATTGTCCTTTCAACTAATTAAGCATTCTTGGTCTCATGCATGCAAAGCAGGACAGCTAAGGTCAAATGAGAATGAACATTTTTAATTTACAGAAATTAATTGTTACAATATATGTATTACTACTAATTAAATGAAATTTTATCTTACATTTTATCGTGCATAAAATAAATTTCGTATAAGTTATGTATGACGATAATGATATAACTGTTGCTTATTATATTTAGCGGTAATAATAAATATGAATACTTATAATCAACATTATATATAAATATCGCTAGAGGTTTAGCAACTCTGTAATATGTAATAACATTAACTCAATTACGTGACCAATATTAGTCGTGATGGGATGATAGAAAATTTCTCCATTTTTCAAAGATTTCATGTTTGGTTGAGCCTTTAGGAATGAAAAAAATTGTTTAGAAACATCACCTTCAAAAATTAAGTTTTATAGTATACGAATGAATTTGAATCTAATCAAACCTGATAGAGATATCAAATATTAATTGAAATCAAATGAAAAGAAAAGAAGAAAAAAGAACTTTATGTGGTTGCTTGTACTAATTTTCTTTAGGATAACATAGAATCTTTTTTGAAGTCCCATTAATGTCTGCCACAATATGTCCAATTACCTATTATTAGTCTTGAATAAAAGCACTTAACTTTTTTATTTAGTAAATTTGTTTTATATATAGTAACTACTAACTTGTAGTACAAAAAAGAATAGAATTTTAATGAATTTTTTTGTACAAGTGACATTAATTCCATTTTCAACCTTTACATCAAGTGTGAATCTTGAAAAGAGTTCTCTTAGAAGGAAATCAAAGAAGAGAGAGGGCTAAGAGTCAAAATGTCAAATTTATCATTGAGAGATGTGGTGGAATGAATAAAATTTCTATATTTTAAATAAGAAATTTTGAGTTCAATTCTTAAAAAAATAAAATTAAATGAATCAAATGTGATGACGATCGTCTGAATTTTAATCGAACAAATATCGAATGATTATAGAAGAAATTCAAAGACATATATATTGGACTTTATGTCAATACTAGAAAGACTGTTTTCGAAGGACTCTTGGTTTAAGTAAAGTAAAAAATAGGAGTAATGAAAAAGAAAAAGCAATTCTGAAGAAAACATGACAACTAATAGGAAAGCAATATCAAACATACGAGCAAGGTAAACAAGAACATCAACATATATAATATTGCAATCACCTAGACATAGATAATAAACAACAAATCAAATAACGAATGCAAGAAACTAATTAAATATGATAGCCACAATGCCCTAGACTATCACCATGCCTAGCTAACTCGATCCGTTGAAAAGTAAGACAATGCTCAACTCTAACGTTTCACCCTTACGTGATCTTCATATCTTCTATCTAAAATTATATTTTTGATAAATTAAAATTATATTATGTCATATCTAATCACCTCTTCCGACAGAAGCATGAAAAGCAAGAGAAAAGAAAAGAAGAAATTAGCATGCAAAAAAAGGAAAGGAAAAGAGATAGAAAGGGGATATATAGAAGGAAAAGAGAAAGACAAAGTGTCATATTCATGATGAAGATATTTTAGAAGACTTTTGCCTAAGAATCTTTAATTAAGCATTTGTCACTACTCAAACAAACAAAGATTTCGAAAATATACTAATATTACGTTTTGCCAAACTTTTTAAATAAAAAATATTTCTTGTTAGAAGTATTTGTTAAAGAAATATTTTTTTAAAATAGTAATTTGTGTTTAACTAATTATTTTGAAAATATTTTTGTTAATATTAAAACAGTAATTTGTATTTAACTAAAATTTTAAAATGTTTAATGAAAAAATATTTTTCTAAGTAAATAAATTCCTTAAAAAAAATTCTAATAAAACAAATAAAATTTCACATTTATTTCCTTTAATGAAAACTTTTTTCAACCAAACACACTCTAATGCTATTGATTTTTTTAAAAAGGGAGTGCATGTACAAAATGTAAAAGATTTAAAAGAGAAATAATATAAATATGAAGGGAATAATTTAAGGTGAGGAAGTTCTTCTTAATTAGGAAAAAAAAAGAATAGAATATTTGCTTGTGTTTTTGTTTTTCCCTAGTGGAATTGAATCTTTTATTATTTATTTTTGCTTTTCTTTTGTTTTATTTATTATTTTATTGCTTTCGATAAATTAAAAAAAGTAGGAATATGATACTAGCAATATACTACTTGAAGTCTACAATCCTAGAAATCCAAAATTTCAGGGATCAAGAATCACAATTTGGGGCCACCTTTGGATAATTTTGTTATTTTTTTATTAAAAAATTGTAACAAAATATATAACAAACATAATATTAGGGGGCCCTATGAGAGACAAATAATAATAATAATAATAATTAATTAGTGGGATAACTTAAATAAGTGAATTGTTACAGTAGCTTTAAGGTAATGAGCAAAAAATAGTAACAAAAAGATCAATATATAATTGTATTGCATTTCTGAATTAGATCACATATACTATAAATAATAACATATCCAATATAATTTTACAAAAAAAAAATTAACATTTTAAAATACACAAACATTACTCCTATTTTTATGAAATCCCTTAATTATTTATTTATTTAAAAAAAAAAAGAGAAATCAAAATGAAAGAAAAATAACAATACCAATAAAGATCAGAGTGATTAATATTAATTATCTTTAAAATCAACCTTTATATCTATTATGATTTCAAGATATTTTCACATAGAACAATACTTCCCAACTGGGATTTTTTTGTTTTGCCATAATTTTTTTCAGGTTCTTGAAATTGTGTCAGCCGTCCGATATTGTTATTGAAACTCGATTAATTTGAATTCATGCATTGCAAGCAGTGGTAAAAAGTAGAGCTTAAAATTTAAACTTGAAACCTCAAGGTTTTTGAACTCCCTAAATCACTAATCAATATCTAATCTTACATTTAAAAGATTCAAAATCAATATATAGACATAAAAAATCTTTAAATACATTATATATATACAATATAATTTTTGACGAGGGGGTTCGGATGAATCTCCTCAACTACCTCGAAGTCCGCCCCTGATTACAAGATCTATTTTTATTAATGCTCAAACTCTAAACCACTGATTAATTGTGAAAATATCTTAACCATATCTCACCATTGATTTCTTTTGCCATATCAAACACACATTTTCTTATTCTTTAGTTTTTGAATACATATATTAATATGTTAGAGAACATTGTGTTCATTTCCAATTGAACCTAGTATATATAGATTGTTTTTTGTTCCAAGAAACAAAAAATCTAAAATAATACATTATATGCGTTTTCATCTAAATACCATTATTCTTTTTACTCCTTTAGCTCCAATGATCTTTAAAATCTTCATTCTCAAAGAAATTAAAAAGAAAATGTGGAAAGAATATAAATAAAAGTAAACCACTTTTTTGTTTTGTTCTTTTTTATCGTGCTTGTTAAAAGGAACAAGAAAATGATTTGTAATATAATCCCTCAGTCCAACAATACTTGTCCACTATTGATTTTACACACTTCTTACGAAACTATAAATAGAAGGATAATTTTTTTATATCGCTCTTTGTATATAAAAAATACAACCGGTCTTTCATAAAGTAGACAAATATTGTTGGACATCTTAGAATAGTAGAATGGACAACTATTATTGGACGGAAGAAGTATTACTATAAAATGAAAATATCGTGAGATAATAGACGATACGATAAATTGATAAATGAGATAATGTAAGAAGAATCCAAAAAGGCGAAAACTTGTCTTATCATAGGGACATTCCGACAAAGTGGGGCCCAAAGTCACGTGACTTAGAGCCACGTAAGCCGACAAAGAGCGCGGCTGACCGGGAGGCTGTGTGTGTTTATGGGACCCACAAATTTACCTGAGACATCTTAGGACTTAGCACCCATTCACACCAACAAAAACATTTGTGCAATGTTTTTATGTTTACAAAAAAATAAATTAAAAAAATCTAATAAATTTCTTAATTATAGTAATATTTTAAAGTGGAAATTTTTAAAATTTGTGATCTTAAATATTACTCCCTCCGTTCCTATTTAGTTGTCCATATTTCCTTTTTTAGTTGTCCCTATTTAGTTGTCCATTTTGACAAATCAAGAAAGGACAACAAATTTTTTCCTATTATACCCTTATTTACACTTCTTGAAAATTTCTAAAAGTGTATGTTGTTTCCCTCCAATTTATTTCACTTGAATTCAAAGAAGTGGTCGTAATTTTGAAGTGAAAAATTGTCATAAGGGTAAAATTATAACTTCACTGTGCTAATCATTGTTGCCTTAATCTGTGTGTCATTTCTAAAGTGGACAACTAAAAAGGAACAGAGGGAGTATGTCATTTTGACACAGAGGTGAGTTAATGAGGATGGATCATAAGGAAAAATTATTCTGCTACTATCTTTTAAAGTCTCGTCGCTTTGATGAATGATCAGTTGAGTTTTAGTAGAATTCTGATGATATGAAGCTAGACTATTGAGTCATTATGTTTTTTTTTTTCAAAAGAATTACGGTTCATGACCTCCTAATTGTCATTGTTCAATTACTTCCTTTTCATGATCCGATGTGTATACTTACTACATTTACTTCTAAAATTCTAAATAGGAATTGTAACCTCATGATCGTTCACATTTTGCATGAATTATCGTCTTCACGACTTTTTTTCTAGCTAGGCTGACAAAACTTCTAGAGAAGGTTGAATGTACACTATACTTAAAGACGAATTTTACATCGAAATAGGTGAAAATGAAGATTTAGAGGTGTTGTGGGTGGTAGTGGAGGGGTGAAGGGTGTGGGGGGAGGGGGGGGGGGATGTTGAATGGATTGGAAAGAGACAATAAATTTGTATTTTAAAAAAAATTGATATTATTAAAAATAATTTGTAATGAAAATCATTTTGTTCTCCTTTATGGTTAGTACTAACTTAGTGGCAATCGCAGAGATACAATCAGAATTTGTTATTAAATACATAATTCCTCTTAGTTATTGGGTTAATTAAATATTTATATATATTAAGTAATTTTTTAATTTAAATATAAAATATGATCTAAGCAAAAGATACTAAATTTATCTAAATCCTAAGTAATACTTTACCTCTGTTGCTAAGCAAAAGTAATAACACTCTTCAACAATAAGTATGGGTAGATATAACATTGCGACATTAGATTCACATGAATTCAATATGTTTTATATAAATCATAGAACTAATAAATATGTCAAAACCTATAATTTTTAAAAATATAAAAAAATTAATATTATAAATTGTAAGTATTAAACTCATAAAATTTAATTTTGATCTAGAACGATATGTAAGTTAGAAATGAAAATTGATATACACGCTATCATATTTTCAAAAATAGCAGCCAAACACCAAAAGCTGGTTATTTTATTAAAGGAATATATAACAATATTCTCTTTCAACATCAACTTCACTTTAACATAAAAACTTTATTATATACGATTCCATTTTGTCTTGCAAATTAGTAGAAAAATAGATATCTATTTTAGTTACGTCTATTAACAGAAATTAAAGTGTAATTTTAATTCGTTAAGGTCACCACTAGATTACTTGTGCAAAAATATAGCCGTCCACATAATCAAACTGTCTAATGTTATTTTAAATTTAGCTTATGTATCATTTTAATGAACGGATAACTCAATTCTTAGAACATATTAAAACCTCAAGTGGTAAAGAGCCGACATCAAGGTGCTAAACTAGCTTCACGTAGACGTACTACAATAAAAATAATTTTTAGCGGTAAAAAAAATACACATTAACAAAGGGTAATAAAATTTTTACTGACATTAGTTAATTGTCATTGGATCCAATGTCAGTATAGGCTCTAGAAACATTTATAAAAAGTAATAATTGTCTAAAAAATACATATTATTACCGTTAAAAATCATTTTTGATATAGTGATGTGAGCTCTTAGGAATCGAAAGATCAGCGTAATCTTTTATCTCTAAAATATTTATTAAGCGATGACTCTTATAGAATCACTAAGATCGATTTTCATCTTGGCTCGATGGGTGAGTCTTGCAGTCAAGCTCATTGTTAAAGCTAAAAAATAATTAACAATGCATCTAGTTTAGAAAAAAAAATGTTTGATTTAACTTTATTTGTTTTATCGTGCACTTTTTTATGGTTCTTTTTTAACCAATAAAAATAAAAGATTAATTTTTTTTCTTTATTTTTTTATTGTAAAAAAAAAGTGTATTTGACAAATACAAAGGGACCCAAATGGAAGGAGGAAGATATTCCTCATAATTCGAGAGCTGAAATTTGAGATACGAACAATCATTCTGTCTCCACGCCTTCTTTCTTTTCTTTGTATTTTCAGTATTTTTTTAAAAATAAATTTTTGTATTAATAATTAATATATATTATTTATTTATGCATCTTTTCTTTTAGCATTCACCAACTTTTGTTGAACAGGATTTAGTGTACGCATATCTTATTCATATTTTAAGAGTTAAAGAGGTTGTTTTCGATAGATTCTTGTCTCGAGAAAAAATATTGAGAAAAAAGTAGTGGTAAGAGAAAAAGGTCATGATAAAATATTATATAAAATATGTTAAAGTATTCTGAAAACAAACAAAAGCAATAACTGCAACAAATAGTATGATAATCGAATTACGTACCATATATAGAAATAACAAATAGTATTAGTAATCGAAGGACCAAAAGTTTAGAAGGATAAGTGAGACACTTTACTATCTACTAACCTTCAACCCTAATTTGTGTCCTCCACACCTCTTGTCTAAGGAAATTTCCTAGGTAAGCTGAAATTGTGTCATGTCCTATCTAATCATCTTTAATACTTCTACGGCTTATTTCTAGCTCTCGTGAAACCATCCATAGCCAACCTTTAATACCTTCCACACAAGGACATGTGTATCTCATCTTCACATTTTAATTTTCTAATATAGATATACATGATCGATATGGTTGTGAGCGGAAAACAATAAATTCAGTTGAATCTGCTAGGATATTCATCATAAAATTTCAAACGTTTTCTCTAAACAATGGAGTACTAAAGTTTTGATTTTTGCCAATTAACCTCTAAATTTAGACAGCTAAATCCAAAAATCATTAAAAAATTATATCAACATGCTAAACATTAATCATGCTACAATAGTTAAACCTCATGAAATTTAATCTAAAGAAAATGTTGATTCAAAAACCAAATCAATATTAACAATAACAAAATGATAAAAGCCAATGACAGAAATATAGAGAACAAATATATTTATGTTACGTTCGAAATTCATTGTCACAAAAGAGTAATGGTACGATAGTATCGACCTGCATTGATTTAAAATCTTGAATCTTGTCTCTGATTACGAATAACAAACAAGTAAATTGCAAAAGTGACATAATAACACCTGGGCTTTGGGCCTTCAATTTAATTCCACTTGGGCCTTCAAAAAATTATGACCTGGGCTTGGTCTTGGGCTTTTTTTCAAAACAATGATCTGCTGCCAACTGATGGGCTATAGAACCTTGTGTTATATTTCTTTTGAGGCTTACCACAAATGCATTGGCATTCATATCCCATTATGTTACCAAAACAAGAAAACAATCCACTCGAACCACGTGCATGCCTCCTCCCGTGACGACCGGTCGAATGGTAGCTGCTCGAGGCATGTCCCCGGTCGTACACTGGTGGTACCTCCGTCCTCCACCTCTCGAGTTTGGACCTGAGCCCCTCAACGCTCTCGTCCAAACTCCAACCATCCAACACCGAGCTCTTTTGATCATCCAACGGGTATTTTTTTTCGGCCACGGCCGCCGCGACCTCGGATGCTGAAGGCCCAATTTCTGAGTCAGTCCAATGATGAGCATTTCCCTTAATTGGGCCTCCAAATACAAATTTTCCATTGTGTCCTACCCCTTTTGGGCCTCCAAACTCATATCCATTATAATTTTGAATGGGCTTTCCTATAACTGTTATGGGCTCTTTGGGCTCATCAACTTTGGGCTTTGTGAGAGATTTTTCATCAACTTTTTTTTCATTTGTGGGCTTTTCTTTGTTCTCAAGCTCTAAAGCTATAAGTTTGAGTTTGGGCTTATCTTCTTTAGGCCCAGTATTATAAAGTGATGACTCTTTACTCACAATTGAATCACTTAAAACTGAGCCCGTTTTGCCCTTTTTACCTTTGGGTTTTTCTTCTTTAGGTCCACTTACCATAGAACTTGCTTTGCCTTTCTTTTTTACCAACATTTGTGGTGGAGGCTCCAAAGAAATACTAAGAATTGAGCTTTCTTTGTCATAATTATGTGCTTTATTCTTCTTTTTTGAAGGTTTTGCAACTATTGAACCACTAGACTTTGGTACATCATCGTCGAATTTGACACGTTCGCTACGTTCACTCTTTGTACGTAACAATATTGGTTTTATAGTAGTCACGTTGTTATTATTGGTGTTGGTGTTGTTGTTGTAGTTGTTGGTAGTGGTGGTGGTGGTGATGGTTTTTTCGTTGTTTGTTTTCTGGTTGTGGTGGTGATGAGGGAGTTGTTCTTCTTCCATCAAATCACGATATCCAACAGCTGACTTGTTTAATTCAGTGTACAATGGCATACTTCTCATGGTACTATCTAGTAATGCAACACCAATGTTCAATATCCCTTGAGGTCTCCCGGATGGACGACGTACCTAATACCAAAAAAAAATAATACATAAATTTTCATCGAAGAAAATATTCAGAATCATTAATTAGGTTATTTATAATTAAATCCATCTCAATATTCATGACCAATTAATCCATATCATTGAAAATTCAATTAGAAAACATAGTTCTAAGCAAATGTACTATGAAAATTATATATTGGTCAAAACAATAATAATCTTGAAAACCAAATTTTGAATATATATATACATATATATATTATATGATGGAAGAATCAAGAATGGAGCAAAAATTTACATGCATGCATGCAACTTTACGTGAACATGCTAAACAAATTTCCTATTTATAGAAATATTGGAAGAATGAAATTAAGAATATAATGTGGTTGTTACGTTAGGAAAAAAAATATGTTGAACAATCAAACATAAAAAAATTGAAAAATATTTTCGAAATTAAACCTGAAGTGCAACAAAACGCATGCCAAGATTATGAGGATGATGATTATGGTGTGTCCTAGACGGAGGAGGGATAAGGTTTCCGACGAGGACGCGAACAGACCCCACAAGAGAATCCTTAAACCAATGGCCACAGTGAATTTCTATTTGTACGGCTGAGGTATCTTGCCGGAGAAACTCCTCATCCACACGAAAAACAAATTTATCGTTCCACGTTGGGTTGTTACCTCCTTCTATGTCAACCGCGGTGGTTAGCTTCCGTGTAGGGTGGACCCACACGGTCGCGTAAGTTTTCATTTTCTTGGACATAGGTTCCAAATCTTGAGCGGAGATGATGTTAATTTCCAAGAGTTGGAACGGTTTCAAGACCCCCATTTTGAAAATTTTGGTAAATTCGTAACGTTTAATAAAAAATATTATTAGTCGCGAATTTAATCTTGATGGTGAAATGAGAAGGCTTCGTTCGTCGTTCCCTGAAAGGAACGACCGAGAAATGAAGAGAGAAGGACGAGGGGTAGGGGGAGGGGGTGGTGATTTTCTCGAGGAGAGAACATTAAGGCATTGTTACAAAGGAAGAAAATGTGTTTTTGAAATAATGTTTGTGTTTTTTTTTTGGCCGTAAGGTTCTTCAACCCTTTTTATTGTAAAAAAAAACAAGTTTTTCAATATCTGACCAAGTGTATTTAATATTCAATTAATTAAAACGTGTGTCCGTTTATTTGTGAAAATTTCTCAAATATTACGTATTTACTACTTGCTAAATTATATGTAATCTGAAAATAACACTTCTTATTATTTGAAGTATAGAGAAAAAACAAATTGCGAATTAATAATTAATTGTAATTACATTATAATTGTCTTATAATTTAGTGATATCGACAAGAGTATTTCTTCATGCAACAATGTCAATTCTCACTATCTTCCCCCCCTCCACACACCTTCTTTGATTACCATATTATTTTTTGCTGATATTCTTCGTATAACTTTTTATTATTGTATTTTTCTTTATTTACACACTTAATTTCTTATATGCGTTACTTAGATCTGCCATCGAAAACAACATTACTATCTGTCACAAACAGGGGCGGACCTACAGTGGTTCAAGTGGGTTCATATGAACCCACTTCGTTGAAAAATAACACTGTATATATATGTATATTTAATCAGTTTTTAAAATTTTATATGTATATATTAAATTTTGAACCCACTAACACAAGTTGAAGCTTAGCCGAGTGGCAGAGGGGGTTCAATTTTCCCAGCCAACCCGGGATCGAATCCCTATAGCCACATTTCAGTTTTAATTCGTTTTTTTTATATATAAAACATTCACACACAATTTTGTCCTAAGTAACTTTTGTCCTTTTAGTTACTTAGGAACTATAAAAAGTAGAACAACTTTTTACTTTTACATTTAAAGTCCAATAGTCAACAACTTTTGTCCTTTTTGTTTTTAGTTTTTTTTTTTTATAAAAAAAAAAACTCAACTAAAAAGGCACTAATCCCTATTATTTTCAATTCTAAAAATCTTTTTATCTTCTTCTTTGTTGAAATCTTCTTGAACCTCTCTTACTTTTCCCCCCAAAATTTTGAGCATATTTTTTTGTTGAAGGAAAAAAACTCTCCCCATCTCTCAACTTGAACCTCTCTTATTTATTTTTTATATCTTGAACCCACTTCGTGAAAATCCTGGGTCCGCCACTGGTCACAAAGCATAAAATCGTGTATTTTCTCACTAATAAAAATACAGTGATATTTATCGTTTCTCGAATATTCCTAATAACTTGTCTCGGATAGCTTGTGAGGTTGACTCGTTGTAAAAGAGTTCACAAGCATCATGTTGAAACTATAAATATTGTATATTTATTGTATTTTAATTAATATAACTTATACTAAAGTTAGATGCATTAGCCTTGGTATTTCATAAACATATTCTTTGCTTAGATAATAATATATATTGTGCTGTAATTTTTTTTATTTCTTTTTCACATTTTAGATAAGAATATTTTTTTATTAGATATTTTTTTATGTATTTAAAAATAGCTAATTATTGAATGATATTGAATTAACAACTAAAACTTGATTAACGATCCAAAAGTATCCATTTGTCAATTTCTCCTCCTCAAATATCTCCATTTTTTCCAAATTGGGTCCATAACTATCATTTTCTTAATACATTGAAAATGCCATTTTTTAAAATTTTATTTTCACTTTAACCATTTAATTACATTTTTTTTTAAAAAAAAAAGAAAGAAGAAGAAGTCAAAGTACAGATATGGCAGCCACAACTCCACGTGAACACTTTAATTATAAAGCTTTATTTATTAAAATTTCAATTCTTACTCCTTCGTCCCCATTTTAATTCATTTCACGTCTATTAAAAAAATATAATAAAAAAAAATATAATTTATTAAATTATCTCTATTTATCAGATGTTTTCGAGATTTGAGCTCTAGCAAAAAAATATTTTTTCAAAATTAAAAACAACTCTTATTTTGAGGAGTACTAATTTTTTCTAAAATGATATTTTAGAATGGAAAAATTCTTTTGATCAGAATAATATTTGACCTATGTTATTTTATTTTTTAAAACATTTTTAGAATAATTTATTCTCTTTATTTCTTGGGAAGCAACACTTATATTAGAACAAGTAGAATATTTTTTTAATTAGAATTTTCACAAATTATTTTCAGTCAAGCTTTGGGATTGAGAATTACAAAGTCCAAAAAAGATACTTTTAACTTATAAAGTATTTTGTTTCACAATAAATTAGAGATTTCAAGTTCGAGCTTGAAATACATAGAACATTTTATTAGAAACGTCAACTCAAAATAGGTCCTACAATACATAATCATAAATTTAATTGAGACTTCGAACCCCGAGCGGAAAAAAAAGAACTTGGATAATACTCCTACTTTTCATCACTCAAAATTTACGAAAGTTTCCTCCTTTCATGTTCCAACACTCCACAACTTGAGTTTTTTCTTCTTGAAACTCTTCACATGTCCATTTTTTCCTCAATAAAATCCCATAGTCTTCACAGAAAATCATTTAGAAGAGCTTAATTTGATGGGAATTTAAAAGGGTTATCTTGAAATACTTTAATTTCTTATAAACTTGAAAAACTGTATAAGCTCAAAGGTGACATTTTTATCTTGTCATAAGCAAGAAAGTTCAAAATGTTGCCTAAAGAACCATCATTTTGTATATATAATACAGAGGATGGGGTTGATGAATTAAAGGAAAATCAAGATTTGGTTAGGTCTGTGACAATAGGGGATATTATATCAGATATAGGTAGTAGTGATTTCAGTTTTGGGAAAAAGGGAATGGGGTTGATTGAGGAAGATGAGAATGAAGATGGGGGAAAAAGGGTTTTTTATGAGGTTAATGAGCTAGGATTTGAAGAGAGTGAACCTGTAATTAGTTCAAAGTACCTTGGTGGGGTTGAGTCTGAACCTTTAGATTTTGATGGAAATGGAGATGTTGAGGAATATTATAAAAGGGTTCTTAAAGAAGATCCATCTAACCCTTTGTTTTTGAGGAATTATGCTCAACTTTTGCAGGTCAGTCTTTGTGTCCTGTTCCTTTCAGAAAGCATTTTTCTCTTTCTATTTCACATTACTTTATTGTGGTTACTGCTCATATTCCCTTTTTCAATTGCTTAGAAATGCTTTCGGAAACAACCTCTTTATCTCTGTGAGGTAGGGGAAAGGTTGGTGTACTCTATATCCTCCCCAGACCCCGTTTGTGTGATTACAATGGGTATGCTGTTGTTGTCGTTGTGTTTTTTTAGTATTTGATGACATGAGTTGAGCTTAAACTAGAGAAACATGGTCAGTGAGGATTCATATAGCAGACCATAACTTGTTTGGGATTGAGGTCATAGTTGTTGTATACATGTTTGATCCTCATTGTAAGTCCTTGAAAGATTGTAGGATTGCGAAAGTTAGTTTCTTGTGAGTTCTATAACTGCAAAGTTGGAATTCTAAACATGGTCAGTGAGGATTCATATAGGCGACCATAATTTGTTCGGGATTGAGATCGTAGTTGCTGTTGTATACATGTTTGATTCTCATTGTAAGTCCTTAGGAGATTCTAGGATTGTGAAAAGTAAATTTCTTGTGAGTTATATAGCTGCAAAGTTAAGATTCTAAACATGGTCAGTGAGGATTCATATAGGCGACCATAATTTGTTCGGGATTGAGATCGTAGTTGCTGTTGTATACATGTTTGATTCTCATTGTAAGTCCTTAGGAGATTCTAGGATTGTGAAGAGTAAATTTCTTGTGAGTTATATAGCTGCAAAGTTGGAATTCTAAACATGGTCAGTGAGGATTCATATAGCGGACCGTAACTGATTGGTATATAGGTCATAGTTGTTGTTGCTGTTGTATACTTGTTTGATTCTCTTTGCAAGTCCTTTACAGATTCTAGGATTGCGGCAAGTAAGTTTCTTGTGAGTTCTATAGCTGCAAAGTTGGAATTATAATTGTGGAACTAAAGTCGCCTCTGTGAATTTGATCTCATCTTTGGCTTCTTGCTCTTGCTGTTAAGTTGCCCCTTGATAAAATAAACTAGTTGGATAAGTATATCAGGATAGTAATAGTGGTTTGAATAACTTTCAACAAATTAGAATCTAATTTGGAACCTTTTATAATCAGTTCACTCATTTTAAATATCTTCTACTAAGTATGGATTAGCAGTTGCATAACCAAGTCACAAAAAGGGAAGTAAGTGAGAAGACTCTTCTTTCATGATGTTCTAGCAATGCCAATGTACGTCAACAATAAATTTACTAGTGGTTTGAAATGTAAAATCATACAATAGTAACTGATTCAAATGCTATTCTGTTCTTCCTAATAGATACTTCGGAAATCTGGTCATTATAAATTTTCTGATTCTTTGGCTGGAAAAGCACACAATATTACATGCTTTAGATGCTATGTGGTTTTAGATATTTCTCCATCTTTATTTTTATTTTCTTCAGATCTAGTCCAATCTTGATTCTGTTTTTGTGGCGACAACTTTTTCTTCATGTAACCCACTGTATTCTGGTCTATAGTCTAAGGGAGATCTTTGTGGAGCTGAACACTATTACTTTCAAGCTACACTAGCTGATCCAAAAGATGGAGATACCTTGTCACAGTATGCTAAATTAGTATGGGAGCTGCACCAAGATAAAGATAGAGCATCAGATTACTTTGAACGTGCAGTTCGTGCTGCTCCTGAGAACAGGTTATACTTGACTTGCACCTTTCATCGAAATGAGAGAATGAGTAATTGGTTCAATTAGATATTGATTTACAAAACCTGGGCATGTGAAGAAACTATTAGTCTCCTCTCCTCATCTTCTCCTTTTTAGTAGTATTTGTGTAGTATCTTAGTCTTAAATTTTTACTACTGCAGCTTCTTTGCTTTGTTCATCTTGCTATTTTGTTGTTATTTTTTCTTACAATCGTGCTTTGATTAAAATTCTTTTGAGCTGAGGGTCTACGGAAACAGCCTCTCTATCCCACCAAGGTGGGGGTAAGGTTTGGGTACATCTTACCCTGCCCAAACCCCACTTGTAGAATTACACCGGATATGTTGTTTTTTTGGTAATAACATGTGAAACCGGATATGATGTTGTTGTTGAAATCTATTATTGTTTCCAGTCATGTTCTTGGAGCATATGCTAGTTTCCTCTGGGACATCAATGACGATGAAAGTGAGGATGAAATGAACACACAGAGTGATAAGACTAAGGTTTCTTCCATTCGTTCTGCCTCAACGAGTATATATGTGTGAACTCTGTTTGACTTAAAGTTTCTTCTGGATGTGTCAGATTGAGGAAAGTGGGGAAGCTACTGTATCCCGGAACTTAGATTACGAAGAAGCTAACAGACCTGTTAGTCCTCCCTTACATCTTGCAGCAGGATTAGGAATTGGGGTTAATCTAGTTGGTGGTGGCTCTCCTGTTGATTATACTGCAGCTGTATCTGATATGGACAGAAATGCCGAGGAGGAGTACATGAGAATGATCAAAGAAAATCCTCATAACCCCGTGCTTTTAAGAAACTATGCTCAGTTTCTTAGTCAGGTGAATGTTTCATATCTTCTGCACTAAATGTTCTTTATTAACATGTATATCATCCATCATATGCTTACAACAATGCCCATTTGATATCTATATATTATCTTGATTTAGAAATGTGTGATTGTCCGAAGCTGCAACCATCGATACAGTCGTTCTCCTCAAGTGTCTGAGATGTCTCAAGCTCCCTCCCTAATATGCTTTTTAAGATTTCAACCCTTTCTTTAAATTGTACAAAAGAACTGCCGGTCATCCTAATTCAGTAGGATTGGGATGGAGAAATATAAATGCATGCTCAAATATGAAATTTTCTTGAACATTATGTCATTCCATTCACAAGATCTTTACAATAGCTACGACAGTTTATCGTTTACTTATCAGAACGCAACCAAAAACAAGAAAAGCTATCTCCGTTCATTGGTGCTTACATATAATAATATCAACTGGTCTTGCTACTTCTGACATTTCTCATGTTTGCTGTTGGACTGACAGTCTAAGGGAGACCTACTAGGTGCTGAAGAATATTACTCACGCGCAATACTAGCGGATCCTACTGATGGAGAAACTATTTCACAGTATGCCATGTTGATATGGCAACTTCATCGGGATAAAGATAAAGCCTCAACCTACTTTAAGAGGGCAGTTCAAGCTTCTCCAGAAGACGGGTAATATTGAATTGAAGCCCCTCATTTTTTTATTCGCAACATTTAGAATTAAAAGTAATAGCGGTAACTTAATAACCTAAGCACATTTCCTACTTCGTCAGTTACTAAGACGGTTTAACAGATTTATGTGATGTGTAAAGGAAATCTGCTACTATTTGATAGCATTGAAAAGGTTAATGAGAAAAGATACAAATATAAGGTTGTTGGTAACTTGGTATTATGCGAATGTATTGGTGGGAAAATATTAAAATTTTTGGTGATCTTTGGTATGATGTCAAATCATTTGTGCGTTGCGTTTAAATTAGAAATTGTGTGGTTGCTACTTGCACATCTAGTTCATTGTTCTCATTGTTTGGGACTCTGAGTTACTAGCTTGCTTTTTTGCTTTTCAGCGACGTGCTTGCTGCATATGCTAGATTTCTCTGGCAAACGGAGGAAGATGAAGACGGAGAAGAAGATGAAACATTAGGTGATCACAACGGTGCACCACCTTTGCAAGGAGTCATGGCTGCAAATGCCTAAATCCTGATGTCAAATGAATTCACAATCCAGCTTCCAATTCTTAATTTAATTTTAGTTTCTCAAGCTTTTCGCGTTATCTAAAGACTTGGAGCTTTCTCTTGTTGTGGAGGATCAAGCATTGTGGGAAATTTTTTAAATGGTAAATGTTGTTTAGTGAGCAATAAAATGTGAACACTAATGTTAAATTGACCTTGTACAATGTTCTTTATGGGAATAATATGAAGAAGTTGATTAAAAATTTAAATGGAGACTTCACATTGTAATAATATATTGTTAGTTCCTCTACTTTAGTTTACAGATCTACGACCTTCGTAAATTACAACATAATTCCTCTATGGTTTGACATGCTGTTTTATGTCTTAATAATGAGTCTCAATGGGGCTAGACAAAGGCATGATCTAATGATCAATGAAGTTGAATCGAGAAACATGATTTATCTAGTTAGAATATTAGAAGATGCATAAAAGTTATTATGAACTGGACACTTCGCAAATTGTTTTTTCTACTTAGACATTTTTAAGAGACTTGTTATCCACAGGATACCTGAGAAGTCATTTTTAAGAGACTTGTTATCCACAGGATACCTGCTATCTCCCACAAGCACAAGTATCGTATAATTCTGTCCACCAAGGACTTACAATGCTTCTCAAGGGCCAATGCAAATGATATCTTTGAACACTATAATAAATCTGTTTCCCAAAGTGCTCCAACAGTAGCACATGTACTCATTTCCTTGCAAAGATAAGTTGAAGAAAATTTCAAACCACACCACACTAGCATAAAGACAGACCCGCACCGCCTCGCCCCATTGACATTCCCTATTTATAGTTTGTGCCAATACTGGAGAGGTTCATGCTGGAGAGAGCATGTATGCAACAATCAGTTAAAAAGGAAAAGATCAAATGAGAAACTTGCGCAAAATATCGACTAGCAGACCAAAACTGCATTAATAATCCTTTTCAGTAAAAGCCTATTCATGTACGGAAAAAGCAACACTTGCTATTTCTGCCAAAAAATTATATGAATTTGGGATGCTTTCTTCCACAAATCTAAATTTTGATGCTTCTCAAAGTATACTAATGTTTGGAGAACTATGAAGACGAAAAAGCTGTTGGCAACATGGCTTGTACTGAAGGGGTATTGTCTGTCCTTCATGAATTCAACTTCAGCTTATTCCCATGAGTACTGCTCATTTCTCAAGCTTTGCTGATTGCTAGGGTAAGCTCTTTCTTGCCGAGGAGCTTGTCTATAGTAACCATTTCCCCTTGATCTGCCATAGTCACGGTCACCTCCGTCTTGACCACCTCTCCCAAAACCACGGCCACCATAGCGCCCCCTTCCGTCCATGGAGTAGCTAACTCTGCCTCTACCCCTTCCTCCTGTGTCCACATTTTAAAGACAAACAAAATGAAACTTAATATTTTTAGGATGCAGAGAAAAAAATAATAATTTCAGGACTTCAAAAATTAAGTTAAGAAATGTATGAAGCAGTAAGCTTTCAGACAAGGAACAGGCTTAGCAAACTGATACCTATACACAGTTCTATTTTGGCTATTACAAGCACACAGAAATCAAATAATAAGCCTTATTTACCTGAAGTATTAAAGAAGGCCACTTGTTATTTACTACTAAATTCCAATGATACCAGCATAATGATTTGTTTTGAGACTAATACCATGGTCAAGATGTGGGAGCCAAATATTTACATCAGTTGCAGCCTCACAAGAATGCAAGACAACTGGTGTAATTATAGTGCCCACTGATTATTCTCTACTTCCTGCTTTTCATTATTCATCTTGAAAATAAGTATTGCAAGTAGATCCAACAAAGTACTCCCTCTGTCCCAATTTGTATTGACTTACTTATCTTTATAGTCAGTTTCAAAAAGAATAAACACATTTTTATATTTAGTAAAACAATTTGGTTTTTAGTCACACAAATATATAACTTATTTTAAACCACGAGTTTGAAGAGTCTTTTTTTCTTAAACTTCAAGACAAGTCAAACTAACTCACATAAATTGGAACGGAGGGAGTAGATTAGTTCACTGTTCATTTTATACTGAACTTTTTTTTATGATAACACAGCTCTCTCCAGAGTTAAAACTTTCCTCCGAGAATTTTTTTTTTTATGAGGACGGGTTGGTTGATCCACTTATCTTTTGCATCCCTTATCTTCCACCAAGTAGGAATCTCAAGTCAATGACATAACACTTGACAAAACAAAAGTAGAAAAGGTGTCCTGCCTGCCTTCGTGTCATGTCATTGACCTTGATTCCTACTTGGTGCAAGATAAGAGATGTAAATTGCTAAAGATGTGCCTAGTGATCACCTAGTAGAAAAATATAATGCTTAGGAGATCTTAGAAAGAAACAAGAAAGAATTTAGCTTGAAGATGTGCTTGTTTCTGTGAATGAGAAATGCAATAGCTTATTTATTGACCTACAATTGAGAAGATAAAACCACTTACTTCCTCGAATTAAGTTGTTTCTGTTCGGTCTCCTCCCTTCAATGTACAACTGGTGTCCACCAATCTGAACAGTAGATGCCTGCAACAAAGATTACATAGATTTCAGTACCTACTCTGAATGTAAATGCAGTAATTAGTCTTAGCTGAAGGTATCACTAACAATTCAATGAAGGCGAGATAAATAGATCGAAAAAGAACATATTCACAACTCCCACATTACTTTACATGGAATACTTCGAATTTGTGCCAGTTTATTACTTCATTTGACCGCATACATAAAATATAGCATCATTCTCAATTACTCAAATAACAAACCTCAATTGCATTGAAACTTTAACACAAAAAGTATAATTAAAGATGGCTCAAAATTTTGAAATGTCAGTTCAAACCTCAATTGCATTCTGAACCCCAGTTACATCTTCAAATTCGACAAATGCATAGCATACATCAATGTCCTGCATCACATCAAATTCCAGATGAACTTATTATTGACCTAATCTAGATTCAAGAGTATAGGGCAAAAGAAAGATGATATAACAAACCTTTCGCGTTCTAATGGCAACAGCATCAGGCTTTAATTTACCAAACTTTTTGAATTCCTCCTCAATTTCATAAGCAGCCATTGTGGTAGGCACATTTTTGACATATACAGACTTAACTTCAACTGCAAAAAGTTCAAAAAGGAAAATCATGAAAGCATATCACTCAAATGAGGTCCCTTTAAAAATAATACACATCCCTGAGAAGACAGGATGAGTACATTATGCCAAAGTACAAGAAACTTACCTTCATCTTCAACAGCTGAAGCCTCATCTGTTGCCTCAGTATACCTCTCAATAGTATTAGTCGAATGAACTGATGGCAGAGCAGGAGGCTCTGGCACATGTTGCCACTCTGAAGGAGGAGGTGTAAGTTTGTTGAGAGAAGACTGGGCCAGTCCTCCTTGTGCAGAATTCCCTTTAGTAACTTGTAGCTTCCAAATTAGAATCAACCAAATAAAATTAGTTGATCACAAAAGCGTACTCAAGACAATATGAGAATGTAACGATAAGGAGAAGGTAAAGGCAAAGGTCATGGCATACAATAGAAGCATAAGTATGCTTTTGGGGTTCTGCAACAGGTTCCTCAACAGGGCAGGATAAATGGTCTTGTACTGCATTAATTGTACTCTGAAGTGGGCCGTTTGATTGCACCGCAAAATTATCTTCAAGGATATTCTCGGCTTCGGGGACATGCTGAAGCCGTTCCTCCGGAAAACTATAGTTATTGACAGGTCCGTTATCTTCAATTTTAGGAGCATCAGCGAACTCCCTTGCTTGGATTTCTCCACCAAACATGTAGTTGGGCACTGCAGAAACCATCATTAATTCTTTACATATGCACATTCTCTTGTCTCATAATATTGCAGCATTAGCATGCAGAATTACAGAGAAAATGTATCCCAAGTTTTCTTTCAGAAGAATTGACATTCAAGTACATAATTTCCTCTCACCAATTTATAGCACATCACTTAAACTTCTTCTCACCAGAAAAAAAAAGTATGAACAAAGGGAAAATAGTGAGCTTCAGCAGTTGAAGCTACTAGAAATATTCTCCCTACATTACCCCTACCTGTGTGGGGTAGATCCTCCAAGAAAAAAAGTAAGAAAGGAGAATGCCATAATCATTACAGCAATGATTTTAAAAAAAAAAAAAACAGAGTAATATTTTTTTTTAGGATAGTAAATCTTAAAAAAACAGAGTAATATGAAACAAAAAGAAGTAAGAGACCTCCCCCCCCCCCCCCCAAAAAAAAAAAAAAAAAAAA